AAGAACAATGTTCTTAGAACATAAACCCGAGGTGATAAAACAAGACGGTCCCAGCCAGACATTTTCTAAGGACATTTCGTGGGAACCACAAGCGGTTCTCAGAACATTGTTCGGTGGGGCTATAGGCGAGCCGGGACGCTCCGCCACTGCTCGAGCGGCCGCCGCCCCGGAGGGCTGGGCAGAGGCACGGCGGCGGGGCCCGCCGCGGGCGGCTGCGCAGGTCTGCCGGGCCTGTCCCTCCACAGTCGGCGGTGGACAAATCCCCCTTTAGTAAACCTCTCAACAATACATCGAAAATAACCAGAAAATCGTCCCCAGACTATTTTTCAACTATTCCTGGATATTCCTCCTGTAGAGGGACAGGCCCGACTTAAGGCTCCCTCTCGGCGGTGGACAAACCACCCTTTAGCAAACCTCCCCTTAATGAAAACGGCCTGGGACCGAAACCGACGGACCTGGACCCGCAAAAATGACGGCCGCGACGCCCTCTCGCGAACCGAAAACGGCCAATTCCTTCCGCAGGATAGAGGCCTCCCAGATGGGGTCGGAGAAGATTCGATCGGAGGATCGCGCCGCATCGCCGATGCATCGGCGATGCATCGGCGATGCATCGGCGATGCAACAGCGATGCACCAGCGATGCATCGGCGACGCCGGCGATGCAGCGGCGACGTCCGCGTAGAGAAGCTCGGGCTCCACATCGAGACGCATCGTCGATGCATCGTCGATGCGGCGCGATCCTCCGACCCCATCTACTCCGACCCCATCTAGGATTAAGTCGGGCGTGTCCCCCTACAGGGGGATGTTTGACGATTCTTTTTATATAAAAAAACCAAAATAATCAAAACATAATCCAAAAATAGTCTGGGGACTATTTTTGTTAGTATGCTTGTTACCTTTTTGGGGTATGTTGGGGGTATGTTTTACCTTTCGTCGAACATCCCCCTGTAGGGGGACACGCCCGACATAACTCTAGGAGGCCTAGACAAGAGCAGCGTGCAAAAATAGCAGAAAGGTGGCCCGGGGAACGATGTGCGGACTGCAGCAGGAGCCCGCCCGCAAGAGACCCTCCGCACGGAAGAGGCCCCGACCCCCGGAGACCCGAGGGCGTCCAGCGATCCTTGGTGTGGGGACGTCACGATGCCCATGGCGAAACCAGCGACACCCAAGAAACCCAGGGCACCCTGGAGGCGAGCAGGGTGTGTCTTGGCATGCGTCTCTAGTTTTGTGTATATATATGTATGTATGTGTGTATGTGTGTATGTGTGTATGTATGTATGTATGTAGGTATGTATGTATGTATGTATGTATGTATGTATGTATGTATGTATGTATGCATGTGTGCATGTATGTATGCATGTATGTATGTATGTATGTGTGTATGCTTGTATGTATGTATGTATGTATGTATGTATGTATGTATGTATGTATGTATGTATGTATGTATGTATGTATGTATGTATGTATGTATGTATGTATGTATGTATGTATGTATGTATGTATGTATGTATGTATGTATGTATGTATGTATGTATGTATGTATGTATGTATGTATGTATGTGTATGTATGTGTGTATGTATGTATGTATGTATGTATGTATGTATGCATGCATGCATGATGTATGTATGTATGTATGTATGTATGTATGTATGTATGTATTAAAAGATGTCCAGAACCCGCCTGTAGGAGGACACGCCCGACATGAGAGCAGTAAGAAGGAGTGGGAGGGAGGGTGCAGGGTGTCAGAGATGGCGCGCGCACCCATCTTGTCCTCCCGCCCCTGTCCTCCTCCCCGCGCCCGCGCGCCGCGCCCGCCACACCGTCCAAGGTCCGAAAAGGCCGACGCGTAAATGCCCCCACGGGGTCACACATGTCGCACGTGCTCAAGGGTCACTGCAGACAGGCGGGAAGACCAAGGAAGAGACACGAGGAAGAAAAGGACAGAGGATGGAAAGCTGGCCACCCCCAGCCCCTGCAACGCCTCCATCGTCGCCCGCGGGAGGGCGAACAGCAGGAGGGGGCAGTAGGGAAGGCCCGTTCCTGCAACCTCCGCCCCGCCCACTCCTCTCTCCCCCTCCCCCTCCTCCTCCTCCTCCTCCTCCTCCTCCTCCTCCTCCTCCTCCTCCTCCTCCTCCTCCTCCTCCTCCTCCTGCTCCTCCTCCTGCTCCTCCTCCTCGTCCTCCTCCCCCTCCTCTCCCCCCCCCCCCTCCGCAGCAGGAAAGGGAAAGGCGCGGCTCTTCTCCTTCTCCTCTCTCCCCTCTCCCTCACTCCTCTCCTCCTCCTCTCCCTCCTCCTCCTCCTCCTCCTCCGCCTCCTCCTCCTCCTCCTCCCTCCTCCTCCTCCCTCCTCCTCCTCCTCCTCCTCCTCCTCCTCCTCCATCCTCCTCCATCCTCCTCCTCCTCCTCCTGTCCCCCCCATCCCCTGCCCCCCAGGCATCCTCGCTCCCTCGCTCCTCCTCGTCCTCGCCCTTCTCGTCCTCCTCCTCGCCCTCCTCCTCCACTGCCTCGTCGCCGAGCTCCTCGACCGACCTCCGTTCGGCTCCCCCACCCGCCCCTCCTCCTTTGCCCAAAATTCCCCTCCACCCCTAAACCTCCCCGTATTCCTCCCCCGCCTCGTCTTTTCTCTCGTCGACCTTCTGCTCGTCGAAGCCTCCGCCCTCCTGCACCTCCTCTCTCACTTTTCGTTTCCTTCCTACGCATGCTCCTCCTCTCCTTCTCCCTCCTCAACTTCGTTGTCGCCTCAATCCTTGGAAGGAGCACAATGGTGTAATGGTTGCTCGGGAGGAAAACAGGGATGCCCTGCCCCTTGCTGCTGCCGCACATCCCGACTTGACGCTGGGCTGAGGGGCAAAATGGGTTGGATGGGCAACGTTGTCGGGATCCGACGTATCGTTTGCGTCAGTAAGGCCCCCGAAAACCCCGCCTCTTTCCCAAGGGCCAAGGCTTCAGCGAGGGGTGCGTTTTGACGGCCCTGGGGCACAGCGAGGCTCCCGCAGGCTGAAACTGCAAAGATCTCCGACTTGGGTACCCATCTGTCGGAAGAAGTGGGTACACACATGAAGCAGGAAGGCGCTGAAGATGTACTGGGTTTCCGCAAAATCGCTCGACCAGTTTGGTCTGGGCCCTGGGGGTCCAGAGATGCACTCTTTCAACGACCGATGGGAATTGCGGTTCAGGACGCTGGGTCTGAGGGAACACCTCGTAGACGTAGGTCGGGCGTGTCCCCCTACAGGCGGATTTTGAACGACAAAGAACAAATACTCAGCACATGCTCGAACATCATTGAAAAAACTAGCAACACGGTCCCCCACACAGTGTTCTGACGATTCTTGCATGGTCCTCCTGCAGAGGGACGTGCCCGACGTAATCGTAGAGAGGCGGAGCGCTGGGCAGCGCCGGCGGTCGCCCCGGTGCCCTGGGGGCAGACGGGCGGGCGCCCGCGGGCCGAGAGGCGGGCGCACGGCAGGAGGGACCACAGCGCCGCCACCGGGAGACGCGACTGCTCGCCTCGACCCTCCTCGCCTCCGAGTTATCTCGGGCGCGTCCCCCTACCGGGGATTTTGGGCGAAACAGTTCAAACATACACCCAAGACAAAAATACACCAAAACGATCAAACACACTCCAAAAACATCGTCCCCAGGCGATGTTCTGACTATTTTTGAACATCCCCCCTGTAGAGGGACAGGCCCGACTTAATCTGATGGAAGACTCGGGTACGCGGCGCTCGGGTTGGCCTGACGGGGGCCATCCAACAAAAATGACGAGACCCAATGTGGAAAACGTGACCGTCAAAATCCAGGACGCGCTCGTCAAAAAAACGTTGGCAAACCCGAGTTCCGGCTTACTCGAGTCTTACGTTTCCCCGATTAAAGGAGCCCACCCCCCACGATGGGCACCCCTGCCAGCCAGGCCCTGCAGCAATCTGGCCCGAAGAACAAGCGAACAGAGCAAGGCTGTTTAGGAAACACTGGATGCCACTCCACAGGCACAAATTCTGGGATTCCCAGGCTGTTCTGCTCTCTCTCTCTCTCTCTCTCTCTATCGCGCTATCTCTCTGGGATCTTCTCTACCCCACGAAGACTTCAAGGACGAGGACCGCCTGGAACTCTGGAAACTCCCGGAACGTATCCTGAACCAGCCGCATTTTGACATGGCCCTGTCCGCTGGGTAGTGTCTCCGTTGGGGGCATCAATCTCGACTCTGGGTCGGCGCAATTCTGGGGGCTGGATGGAGTCCTGGCTGTCCTCGACAAAACTCCATATGTTTCGATAACATGTGCTTTCTCACTCTCGTCCTGAATCGGGGTGACAACAATTCTGAGAAGATCGGGGTGACAACAATTCTGAGAAGATCGGGATGGCAACAATTCTGATCAATCGAACGGCGCAAGCGTGTCCTGGAAGAATCTTCAGTGAGATGAGGGACACCTCCGCATGGATACGTTCCGCGCGGGGCATCTGTGAACAAAAGCGCCCCTCGGCTACACGCGCAAATCACCCTACGCAAGAGCGGCCGTTACTGTGCGGCCAAGGGCAAAGGGGGAGCCCTTTGGAGACACCACCAGGCGCGCAAGCCGCTGCCATCGCATCGCTACCAACGATCGGGGGGCCCCCGTTGGCCCGCACCGGAAGGTCACTCCGGCGAACGGCCACTCTTACGGGCAGTCGACGCCCCGTATCCGTCGGGTCGCGGCTCGTGGGCCCGGCACGCGAGGGCGCGGACACAGACATGATTCCTGTCATTCGCTGGCCCTCCTTCTCGAGGTGGAGGAGGCGGCGCTAGGAGGAGAGGAGGAGGAGGAGGAGGAGAAGGAGGAGAGGGAAGAGGAGGAGAGAGAGGAGGGGGAGGAGGAGGACGAGGAGATGGAGGAGGAGCCGGCGGAGAAGGAGGAGGCGGCGGCGGAGGAGGACGAGGGGGAGGAGGAGGCGGCGGAGAAGGGGGAGGAGGAGGAGGAGGAGGAGGAGCTGCCCGCAGCGAGGCCCCACGCGGCAGCCTCGGGCCAGCGGGTGCACGCCCCTCTGCAGCTTCGCGGCGCACACCGCGGCGGCCACGTCGGCCGGGGCCCCTCGCGGTGCCGCCGAAGGGGGCGGGGAGAGGTCGAGGAGGTCAGGGAGGAGGAGGAGGAGGAAGAGGAGGAGGAAGAGGAGGAGGAGGAGGAAGAGGAGGAGGAGGAAGAGGAGGAGGAAGAGGAGGAGGAGGTCACCGGCTACACTCACCTTGAATCCAGCGACCATGATATGGTTAACTGCGCGGCTGATTGACAGACAGGGACGAGTTCGAGGGGGAGGAGGTCGAGGCCTGGGAGGAAGGCGAGGCGGCGGCCGAGGGGGCCGAAGAGGAGGAGGTCCGGGAGGAGGCCGAGGAGCCGGCAGCGGCTTCGACGGCGGCGGCGGAGCAGCGACGACGCCGGCGCGGGCGGTGGCAGCGACGGCGGCGGCGGGCCCGCGGCGGTGGTGCGCTCGGCGCCGATGAGCTCCCACGGCAGCCGCCGCGCGCCTTAGCCCGCGCGCGGCCCCGCTCGCCGGCGCTGCGCAGCGCGGCCGCGCCGGCGGATGCGACGGCGGCGGCGCCGAGGCGCGCAGCGGTGCGGGCGGCGGCGGCGAGGGCGGCGGCGAGGACAGCCTCGGAGCGCCGGCGTCTCGGACAGCGCCGTGCGGATGCGGTGCCGCGACGCTCGGCCCGGCCAGACAACTCGGGGAGGTGGTCACGGGGGGTGGCCCCAAGGGGGAGGGGGTGGAGAGGAAGAAGGCCCCTAGCTAAAGGCCCTAATGAAAGGGCCCCATCCAGGGACCTTTTCCTCACCCCCCATGTGGGTCACCCCCCCATTGCCACCCGCCCGACTGGGGATAGGGTCGGGACTTCCGGAGGCCCTGTGCCGGCCCAAAGCAACAGGGCGGGCCTCTGGAGCGGCGGCGGCTCGAGGGAGAGTCGGCATCGACGCATCGGTGGCGACAGCGGCGGCGGGAGGGAGGATGGGTGAGACGGCCGCCTTGCTCACACTGCTCTGGCCCCCGGAGGTGTGATGCTTTGTGAGCGTTTTCTGATTCGGCGTTTTGACATTGGGCGGAATGAGGGGGGAAGAGGGGGGTCTGGCTCAGGACCTCTGCTCAATACGATTGTTCGCAACATTGCCTCCTATGGGGGAGACTCCATCTGCTTAAAACAGGCGCCAATAACAGCCAAGATCTATCTATTCCATGGGGGGGGAGGGGGTGCGAGGGCCCGCGACGATCGGCAAACCAACGCATCAGCAAACTATCATTTTGGCCCATCTTCGGCTGGGTCTGTTTGTGTGACTGGGCGCTGCGAGCGCACCTTGGCGCAGACGGAGCGGAAGCCAGGCGGTGGTCGAGGGGAGGGGAGGGCGAAGTCGGGGTGACGGGCTACGTAACAGTGGGGAAAAAGGAAGAGGTGCACCCAGGGACGGGCCTCCAGAGTAGAGGCCACTTAGATGGGGTCGGAGTAGATGGGGTCGGAGGATCGCGCCGCATCGACGACACCTCGCTGATACGTCGGCGATGCGTCGGCGACGTCGGCGTGGAGAAGTTTGGGCCCCACATCGAGCCGCATCGCTGCTGCATCGGCGATGCATAGGCGATGCGGCGCGATCCTCCGACTCCCTCTACTCGGACCCCATCTAGGAGGCCTAAGTCAAATCGGGAGCGGCCAAGAGGGGGGTGTCCAAGAGGGGGGGGGTGCAAATCATGACCGCCGGCATGTGCGCGGCCCAGCGGGGGGGCCTGGGACGTAATGAAATAAGATGAGGTGCCATGAAATCTCAGGAACAATCATGGCCCGCGCCATGAAATCCCCCCCCCCCTAGTCATCACCCCCCTCTTTTCCGCCCCCGATCAAAGGCAGAACCTTGAAGGGCACATCGAAAAGACAGCAAGAACACTTTCGCCGCAAGCAAACCGCACTGCTCGAATGGGTGCGGGGTGCAACTTCAGAGAGTCGGGGATGGACAGACCTCCCTTTAGTAAAACGTGGTTTAGTGAAAACGACCTGAGGCCCAAACCCGGAGGGCGCAGGCCTGGAAAATCACGGCCACGGCGCCCTCTCGAGAACCGAGAACGGACAATTCACTAATCGACGTGGCACTGTTGGGGGTTCTGTCCACCCCCGAGAGAGGCGGCCCCTGGCGCTGCCCGATGTCCCCTGGCCCTGGTGTCCCTGCTGCGCTGCCCCCGCTTCCCCCGTCGTGTTTCTCTGCGCTCCCCGGTCCTTCCTCCTTGCACTCCTTTCGTCGTATTTCTCTGCGTTCCCCGGTCCTTCTTCCTTGCACTCCCGTTCCCCGGTCCTTCTTCCTTGCCTTGGTCTCTTCTTTCCTTTCTCTTCTTCCCAGATTCTCCGGCAGTGTTCCCTGCGCTCCTTTCTTAGGGAAACAGAAAATGACATAAACACAAAAACTCGGAGGTCCGCGCGGATTTCTCGGATCGGCGCTGGGGCCCCCCGGCGGCGCCTCCGGCGCCGCCACTGGCGCGCTCCGCGCGCCAGGGAGGGGGGTCCAGCGCCGATCCGAGAAATCTGCGCGGACCTCCGAGTTGTTTATGTTTATGCCACCTTTTGTTCCCCTATTTCTCGGGTTCCCCAGTGTTGTCGCTCGCGTTCCCTGGCCTTCTTCATCTCTGGGTTCCCTGGTCTATGCTACGCCAAGCAATGCCCCGCAACGCCAAGCATACAACGCAAGCCGGGCAATACCGAGATAGATCGAGCAACTCCAAGAAACTTCAAGCAACTGCGATGCATGGTACGTCACGATGCCTCACAAGACGGAGCAACGACACGCAATGCCAAGCAATGACAAGCCGTGCCAAGCAACACACAGCAATGCCAGGCGACGGCAAGCCTTGCCATGCAGTGCCCAGCCATCTCACATCACCCGGGAGACTCCAACGCAGGACACAAATGGGGAAGCCAGGTGGAAAGAGAACCTGCCCGGGGCTCGCCGAGGAGCCCAGGGTGCCCAGTTCCCCTCTGAAGAAACAGCTCCTTGGCGAGGGGTTCGGGCACGGGGGGTGCTTCGGATCGTGGATGGACAGACCTCCCTTTAGCAAAGCGTGGTTTAGTGAAAACGACCCGAGGCCCAAACCTGGCGGGCGCAAGCCTGGAACATGACGGCCACGGCGCCCTCTCGAGAACCGAAAACGGACAATTCACACATCACGTGTGCCTGTTGGGGGTTCTGTCCAACCCCGATCGGACTCTGGAAGAGAAACGAGACGAAGGAACTCTCAATCGCGGGGATGCTGGCACGCGGAACCCCCCCTCCCAGCGCAACCGGAAGACGACAAGCGCGAGAGCCCAGACTGAAAAAAACAAAGCATCACTCTGGGTAGTAATCATACTAGGGAATTGTGTTAGTATTCCTTGCACGCGACTGTGTCCTACTTCCGAACTCGGCATCCTATACTGTCTACTTATTCATTAATCGCGGTTAAAGCATGCTTCCGTAATCCCAAGTCGCTGTCCTATAGTGTTTCGTGATTTTTACGTCACGAGTCGATGCAACTTCCTGAAATGCCTCAATCGCACTCCGATCAGACTAGGTGTGCTGCAGGACCAGGTGCACTCTAGGAGCAGCCGCGTGCTAGCACATGATGGTAACATTTGCACTCCAGTACTAGGTGTACTCAAGACAGACAGCTTCAGGGGTTCCAATGATGATACGCGTGACGAAGAAAGAACAACAATCCATGCGCCGCCAAGGGTCCGGGGTTTAACAGGTCGCCGCGAAAGTGGAACCCTCGCAGAAGTAATACATAAAATCCGGCAGGGGGGATCGGGGGATTCAGGCACGAGTCGCGGGGGCGATCATCCCACCACCCCTTTAAAGCGTGGTGTGGTTTAGAGAGTTTCCTCTTCCAACCTCAATTCTTCTCCTTTCTGGAGAGGATTTGCACCTCCCCATATCCCCCTCCCCCTGGACCTTCAGGGGGGGGCCGCGAGGAGCTAGGGCATCCAAAACGGCATCGGCGAGGAAGCCACAATAGTTAATGAGATGCCCCGTATACTACGGTGGGGCTCTCGATATTACTCAGATCGCGAAAACGCCTTCTCCCTCCTCCCCAACCTGCCTCCTTCTACTCTTCCCCGCATCATCACACTCGCTCATCACACTCAGACTCACTCTCACTCTGTCTCGCTCATACTCAGACTCACTCACACGCAGACCCACTCAGACTCTGACTCACTCATACTCATATTTACTCACACTCAGACTCACTCACACTCAGACTCACTCACAACTAGACTCACTCACCCTCATATTCACCTGTGGCCAGACTCACTCGTACTCAGACTCACTCATACTCAGCTTCGCTCACACTCAGACTCGCTCACACTCAGCCTCACTTTTCATTACACAGGCTCATTCGCATCACTTCCTCAATCAAAATCACTCATACTCAGAATCACCCGCGTACACAGACTGTGAGGATGTCTCGGGCAGGGCGCTGGTTTCAGCACCACCACGGGGGAGCCGCCATGGGGGTATCTCGCAGGCCCGTTCGTGTCCAGATTGTGATGTCTCCGGCGGATTGCCCGATTTGATGTTCAACATCCTGTGCTTTCGGAGCAGAGTGACTGTGAGGATGTATCGAGCGAGGCGCTAGCTGCAGCACCCCAGAGGGAGAGCCACCTCCATGGGGGGCATAACGCGGGCCCTTTCGCGCAAAAGATTGTGGGATTGTCTCGGTCGGTTTGCCCGTTTGGGTGCCCAACATCCGTGGCTTTCGAAGCAAATAGCGCGGATGTCTCAGGCGAGGCGCCTGTTTCAGCACCCCAAAAGGAGGAACCGCCGTGGGTGTGGTATGTCACGGGCCCGCTCGCGCCCAGATTGTAGGGATGTCTCGGGCGGTTTGCCCGTTTTGGTGCCCAGCATCCTTTGCCTTCAACCCGAGTTGCGCGGATGTCTTAGGCGACGCGCTGGCTTCAGCACTCCACAGCAGTGGGAGCCGCCTGCGGGTATTGCACGGGCACGTTCGCGCCAAAATTGTGGGAATGTCTCGGTCGGTTTGCTTGTCTGAGTGCCCAACACCTTTTGCTCTCGGAGCAAACCGTGAGGATGTCTCATGCGAGGCGCCGGCTTCAGCACCCCAAGAGGGAACCGCCAGAGGGTAGTTCACGGGCCCTACCGCGCCCAGAGTGCAGGGGATGTCTTAGGCGGCGTGCCTGCTACGGTCCCCACGGCTTGTCTTTGGACTTCTGTTACCTAGACGCCTCCGGACCTCACTCAATCACTCACCTCCCACTTTTCTCCTCCGGTCAGTCTTACTCATCAGCACCTCCTCCTCACTACACACACTCGGATTTGATCAGACGTAAATCCACCCAACCCTCAGGCTCACGTATGCTCAAGCCCGCTCATTCTCAGACTCACTTATACTCAGAGTCGCTGACACTCAGACTACCTCACACTCAAACTCACTCAAACTCAGACTAACCCACCCTCAGATTCATTCGTGGTCAGACTCACTCGTACTCAGGCCCACTCAGACTCAGACTTGTACTCATCAAGTCATTCTCATATTCACTCACACTCAGATTTACCCCTACTCAAATCCACTACCACGCAGACTCACTCATGATCGGGCTTCGCATACCAGACCCACTCGCGCCCAGGCTCTCACACCTCGACTCACTCACACTCAGACTCAACCACACCCAGGTTTACCAGCACTGAGGTTCACTCACGTTCAGACCAATCATGCTCAGACCCACTCAGTCGTACCTACTTTGGCGGTCCAAAGATCCCTCGCTGTTGCATGTGTGCTTCCCTCGCCTCTCCCGACAGATGCCCAGAGGCGGACGTCACTGAAGTCGTCGCTGTCGCCGTCGTCGTCGCGCCCGTCGTCCACGCTGACTCGCTCCCACTCCCAGATGCTCACAGACAGATTTACTCAGCGAGAGGTGAAAGGAGTATGATATGCATACTTATGTGGAGATCTCCGGGTGAGTAAGTAGGGTGTTGGTCACATGTCGGCCTCGCGTGTAGGAAGGGGGGCGCGACTGAGGACGGGCCGTCCGGCGATCGAGCTCCGCCTATAGGTGGCCCTAAGATGGCCCCCGAGGCTCCCCAGAGTGCTCCGGGGCGGCCCCGAAGGGATCGCACGGGGCGGCCCCGAGAGGTGCCCAGGGGACCGCACGGGGCCCCCGAAGGGAGCCCCAGAGGTGCCCCCGAGAGGCCCCCAGGGAGACGCCCAGGAGCTCCCCCCCCCCCCCCCGAAGGCGCCCAAGGCGCCCACCCAGGAGGCCTCGGCGAGAAGGCACGCGTTGGTGCTGTGTTTCCTGAGCGGCTGGCCACAGGCTGGCTTCCTGGGTGTGGGGAGTGTGGGGGGGGCAAGCTAATGAAGGGGGCCCTGGGACACACACACACACACACACACACACACACACACACACACACACACACACACACACACACATAAACACACACACATAACAGGATTCCCCATCTTTTTTCCCATATGTTCTGGGTATTTGTCTTCCCCCCCACTTCTCATATTTTCCCATGTTTTCCTGGGAGGCGACGATTAATTGTGTCTGTGTGTTTCTTTCCCTCCTGAGTTAAGGAGCCCCCCCTCCTTTGATCGATCGTCTTCAAGGTGGCCCCAAGATGGCCCCCGAGGTTCCCGAGGGCGCCCCAAGAGGTGCCCAGGAGGGAGGCCCCAGCACGAGGCCCCCAAGAGGCTCCCGAGAGGCTCCCAAGAGACCCCCAAGAGGCCCCTGAGAGCCCCCCCCCAGAGGCACCCAAGACGCTCCAAGAGGCCCGGCGAGAAGGCCTGAACCAGAGTATTGTTCGAATGATGTGTTGGCCGCAGTTTGGCTTCCTGGGTGGGAAGCCTCATTGAGGATCCCTCTTCCTCTGATTGATCGTCCAAGATGGCCCCAAGACGGCCCCCGAGGCCCCCAAGGGTGCCGAAAGAGGGCCCCAAGAGGTGCCCAGGAGGCCCTGACGATGCCAAGAGGCTCAACGGAGACCCCCAAAGGAGGCTTCAAGAGGCCGCACATCAGAGGCACCCAAGACGCCGCACGAGGCCCAAGGGACTGCCAAGAGACCCCCCCAGGCGCCCAGGACGCCAAGAAACCGTCGACAAACTCCGGAAAAGCTGCCTCTGGCTTTCCCGCGCGCCCTCCTCCTCCTCTTCCTCTTCCTCATCTGCCTGTTCCCCTATCTCCTTCATCCTCTCCTCACCCCCCTCCTCCTCTCCCTACTTCCTCCTTCCCCTGCTCCTCCTCCGATTCCTTCTCCTGCATCCTCCCCCTCTTGGGGCACGACGTCTTACCCAGCCCTTGATTCCACTGCATTCTCCTCATCCCTGATCAGGGCAATTCGTCTGGGCATAGTTTCTGGACGGGCTGGCGGGGTTACGCGACGCGTCTAGATAAGCAGAGCCAATACACACCGAGCAATGCCAAGAAGTGCAGAGCAACGAGTCCAAGCAACGCCAAGCAATGCTTTTCATGACAACGGCTTGCATTTCTCAGAACTGCTCTGAATGGATGTTTGCTGCTTTGCTTCAGATCACCGCCAATGTCTCGGTTCGCGCTGGGTTTACAGTCGACCCGTATCATGAGGATGCGCGGTCAGGACGCATGGGCCGTGGAGGGCCATGTTGAAGTTTTTCGAACGAGGTTGGCCAGCGAAAGTCGCTGAGGATGAGCCGAAGGGGCAAGGATGAAAGGGTACCCTAGGGAAGGTTGCCCATCCTTCTTACGTGGGTTCACTGTCTGTTTGTTCCCCCCAGGGCGCGAGGGGGTTTGGGCCACCCGCCAAGTGCGCCTGCCGCAACGCCCCAACCCACTTCCCCTCTTCCTCCGCGGCGCGGCTGTTCGGGACGCGGTGACCCGGGTCAGCGTTATCCTGGGCCAACCATGAGTATCGTCTAACCGATCCCCATCCCCAGCGGCGTGGCCTGGGCCCCACTGGCCGCTTGACCCCCCTAGATGGGGATTTAGGCTATAGGCCGTTCCCTTCGGGTTTCGAGGGGTGTATCCCCAACCGGGGTGGTAATTTGGTGGGGGTCTCGAAGGGGATGGGGATGGGGGCATGGGGGTCGGTTACACGGTAGTGATTGACGGCGCTGGGAGAAAGCTGGCGGTTCTCGGCCGACCACAAGGGGGGACGTACAAAGACATACTGATTCCACACGTGCTCCTCGGAGGCGGGCGCCCAACACGAGCATATGTATATATATATATATATATATACACATACATACATATATATATATATACATATATATATATATATATATATGTAGATCACCCATCTTGTCGTAGACCGTTTCCCAAGCGGCGTGGCCAGAAAGCGCTGGCCACGACGCGTATACTTTCGGAACGCCGAAAACAGGGGACATGAAACCAGCCGCAGCCCCCCCAAAAACAAAACAACAATGCGATGCACAAAACGGAGCCGAACTGACCACTGCGCGAACGAGAAGCCCCCGACCGGGAAAGCAACGCATCCCCCAGCCGAACAAAAAAAACGAACGCCGATCTCGAAAACGAGGGGGGGGGGGGGAGACGCCCCCAGCGTCTGCAACATGTTCCAAGCGCCCGCCTCTCCCCCCCCCCCCCTCCTGGAGAGGCGTCGCGACGGGGCCACAGCGCAGAGGGCTCGGCTGGGCCCCAGGCTGCCGCACTGCGACGCGGGCTCCGCCTCGCGAGGGCGGGGCAAGGGGGGCGGGACGGGGGGCACGCAGAGAGCTGCTCCGAGCTTCTCGGTGAGCGTCGGGGGGGGGGCGCCCCTCCCCGCCGACAGCGCCACATCCGACCCCCGTCGCGGGCAGCCACCGCGCGCCGAGGGCGCTCCGACCCCCGTCTCGGCGCGACGACGAGGCGAGATTGACCCCCGTCGGGGGGGGTGTTACCTCCCCCACGCTTCTCAAGAAACCCAGAGTAGGCAACCGAAGGATTGGGCGCTGCTGAGGGGCGGGGGGGCACGGGGGGAAGAGACAGGTTCAGAACGCCACTCCAGGGAAATCCTCTTCAGAACGGCCACTGAGGCGGCTCTGTAGGCGGATGGAGCACGATATCAAGCCGGCTTCAAAGGCGGGATTGACCTCCTCACGCTTGTACCAGCGCCTCTTCAGACCTTGACCTCCCAGGAGCTGCACCCAAGAGAGTGGTGCACACCTCTCGTGCCTCTTCGGGCCCCTTCAGGGGCTCCTTCAGCTGCCCCTGCCGTTCGGGAGCGGCCAACGAGGGGGGCGTCCAAGCGGGGGGGGCGCAGCTCATGGCCGGCGGCGTGTGCGCGGCCCAGGGGGGGGGAGCCAGGGACGTAATGAGATGAGAAAGGGCATGAAGTCGGAGGAGGGACGAAATAAGATAAGAAGAAAGACGTAATGAGAAAACAACAGGAGCCCACGCCATGATATTCCCCCCCCCTAGTCCTCACCCCCCTCTTGGCCGCTCCCAAAACCGTGCACACCTCGACCCCCCCTCTGGCGACACGCCCGAAGGAGTCGGGATCAGCGCGGTCTGGGCGGGACCCTCTTGTACCTGCAATCCTGGAACGCTCACGCCGCAAACGAGAATCCGACAAATCGCCTCCTGTGCGAAGACACCGCTGGGCAGCATGCGCATCTGGCAACTGTCGTGTCCAGGGGGACCGCATGGAACGAGTCAAAATTCCAGATCCCGCGTCTCGCCCCTGGATCCGGCAATTGCCGGATGCGCATGCTGCCCAGCGATGTCTGTCGGAGAAGAAACAGCACATAGAAACATAAACATTTGACGCTCCGCACGGATTTCTTGGATCCGCGCCGGGGGGGCCCAGCGCGGATCCAGCTTATGTTTACTTGCTTTTTCTTCTTTCAAAGACATCGCTGGGCAACATGCGCATCCGGCAATTGCCGGATCCAGGGGCGAGACGCGAGATCTGGAATCTTGACTCGTTCCATGCGGCCCCCCTGGGCCTCTCGACCCTCTCCGTGCTGGCTTTTCACACCAGGTCGTTTTTTTCAGGGGTTGCTGGAGGTGCCCCTGGCCCAGGGTTAGGTCGGGCATGTCTCCTTGCAGGCGGATTTTGGGCGAACAATTAAGGAAACAACCTCTTTACACCGACGCTTTTTTTCCGATCCTGCGCTGAAATTCGCACAGGAACGCGGATCCTGCTGTATACGGGATCCTGTTGTATATATTTGTTCGCTGTTTCATTGGGAAAACGGGGAAACAAATATACACCACACCACCCCGACGTCGTCCCCGACCCTCAAAAGTCGTGGGATTGAAAAAACAACGCGCCACTGGTAATGTGTATGTTCCAGTTTCCGAAATACTCAAATCATATCCCCTGAATTAATCAAAACATATTCAAAACATCGTCCCCAGATAATCCCACCAGCCCTCTGGGCGTCGGTGGTTTAGAGCGTTTCCTCTTCCACTCCTCCTTCTTCCCCTTCGGGGAGGGGTTTACCCCTCCCCCTACCCCCTCCCCACTGACCTGGACAGGGGGTTCCGCGGCGCGTTGGAGCGCCCAAGATGGCCCAAGACGGCTCCAAGAGGGCCTCAGGGAGCCCAAGATACCCTCCAAGATGGCTCAAGATAGCGCAAGATGCCTCAAGATGGTCCCCATGATGTTCCAAGACGTTCCAAGAACTCTCCAAGACGGTTCCAAGTGCCCACAAGAGCATCATTAGGATGCATCCAAGAGGCCCAAATGCTTCAAAACCCAAGGGAACATGAATGTTTTTGGTGTTCTCACTTTTTCGCTTGCGATGAACATCCGAGGCGTCAAGATGGCTCCAGGATGGCTCAAGATAGCTCCAATAAGGGCCCAAGAAAGCCCCATGACGGCGCCAAGAGCGCCGAAGAGCGCTCCAAGAGCGGTCCCAGAGCGGTCCAGGAGACGATTGTTGGAGTTCCTGGGGGGGGGCTCTAATTAAGGAGCCCTACTTCCTTGACCGATGTCATCCAAAATTGGGAGAGCGCCCCAGCAGGGCCTTCAAGGGCGCCCAGACGGGTCCAAGAGGAGCCCAAGCCTCCCACAATGCCCCAAGAGGCCGCAGGATGGCCCCAAGATGGCCCCAAGAGGCCCCCCAAGAGGCCCCCAGGAGGCCCCCAAGAGACCCCCAAGAGGCCCCAAGAGACCCCCCCGAGGCACCCAAGGGGCAAAGATGGCCCCAAGAAGCGCCCAGGAGGCCCCCAAAGGCCCCAAGATGGCCCCAAGAGGCCCCCAGGAGGCCCCAAAGAGGATCCCGAACGGCCCACAGAGGCTCCCCCGAGGCACCCAAGACGCCGAAAAGCCCCTCAGGACGACCCTCTACTCCCCTGGGCGTCGTTTCTGGACGGGCTGGTGGGGATACGCGAAGCGTCTAGAATTAAGGAACCCTACTTCCTTGACCGATGTCCCCCAAGAGGCCCCCAGGAGGCCCCCAAGAGACCCCCAAGAGGCCCCAAGAGACCCCCCAGAGGCACCCAAGAAGCGCCCAGGAGGCCCCAAGAAGCGCCCAGGAGGCCCCCAAAGGCCCCAAGATGGCCCCAAGAGGCCCCAAGAGGCCCCCAGGAGGCCCCAAAGAGGATCCCGAACGGCCCACAGAGGCCCCCCCGAGGCACCCAAGACGCCGAAAAGCCCCTCAGGACGACCCTCTACTCGCCTGGGCGTCGTTTCTGGACGGGCTGGTGGGCATACGCGAAGCGTCTAGAATTTGTTATATTACTATGTTTGACTATTCCTCCTGTAGAGGGCCATGCCCGACGTAAGCCCAGTGTGCCCCCTGCTTTCCACTTTTTGCGGGTCTTGCAGCCCCCTGGGCCTCGTGAGGGGTGCTCTGGAGGCCGTGGGGCCTCCTTGGAAATCCTGGGGGCACCCTTCGGGGGCGGCCAAGAGGGGGGCGTCCACGAGGGGGGGGGGGTGCAAATCATGGCCGGCGGCATGTGCGCGCCCAGGGGGGGGCCCACTGACGCGATGAAAGAAGAAGAGGCCCCATGAAATCCTGGGAACTGTCATGGCCCACACCATGATATCCCCCCCCCCTAGTCATCACCCCCCTCTCTGCCGCCCCCGAACCTTGGGCCAGGGGCATCTCTAGCAGCACCCGATGTTTCGACGGCCCTGGAGCCCAGAGAGGGCTTCTGGAGGACGACAATGGAGAAACGAACATCCGTGCTGTTCTTGTTCAGTGCCTTGCGTCCCTCTCCCCGCTGGGCGGCCGTGCGGCGACCTCCGGCAGACGCGGCCCTGCGAAAGTGGCCCGCGTGCCGCAGCTTTCGGGCCCCCGCGCCCCTCCCCCGAGGCCCCTCCGTTCCGCCCTGCGCTCCCTCTCCATTGGCCCCATCCTTGTTCTCTTCCCCCCCCTCCCCCCCCCTCCCTGCCATGGTGGAAGACTCGTGGAGAAGGCTCCTTGGACTATGTGCGTCGCTGGCTCCACTCCGGCAAAACTACGACGAGTGAGCCTCCTGGCGCTCCGGCGCCCCCGCCGGGCTCTCATAGGGCCGTCCCTCCAGGACGTTTTCCGGCGCGCTCTCTCTCTCTCTCTTTCTCTCTCTCTCTCTCTCTCTCTCTCTCTCTCTCTCTCTCTCTCTCTATATATATATATATCCCTCCCCTTCCCCCTCTGCGCCTTCCCTGTCCTCCGTCCCCTTGTCTCCCTACCCTCTCTCCTTTCCCCTCCCTCCCTCTCTCCGCCCCGCGGTCCCAGCCGGCTCCCTGAGAGGACTGGCTCCCCCCGAGGGTGCCCCCTGAAGAGACGGACGCCCCGTCTCCCGGACCTCCGACGCCGACTTGTTGGGCAACGCGGAGCTGGGGAGACCACAAGGTACCAACACCGCCACTCCCCGGACCATTCCTGGGGGGCGTTCTGACCAGGATTTCGAGGCGAATCCAGCGGTGGCGACGAGGGAGGCCCAGGAGACCCAAAAAGGGGAAGACGAAGAGAGGGTAAGTATGGGTTACCTTTTTCTCCTGCGAGGAGCCCGGGAGATTTGGACCACCTCTCCTAGGCTTAGGTCGAGCATGTCCCCCCACAGGGGAATTTTTGCTGAAAAATTAGAAATACTCAAAAAACACATGTTAAAGCATGATCCCAACATGATCGAACAACCGTCCCCAGACTATGATTTGACTGTTTTTGAATATTCCTCCTGTATTGGGACAGGCCCGACCTCATCCTAGGCTGGTTCTCGTCCCGAGCCCACTCGGGGGTGAGGACAAGGTGACGGGGCACCGGGCCCGGCGGGGGCCCCGAGAGACAGAAGAGGTTCAACAACCGTCCGTGGCGTCACCTCGCGACGCGAGGAGGTCTGGGGCTTGGGTCCCTCCCCTGCGCTCCCTCCCCGGTGCACGGTTTCCCCCGAGGCCGTAGGCGACCCGAGGAGGAGGAGGAGGAGGAGGAGGAGGAGGAGGAGGAGGAGGAGGAGGAGGAGGAGGAGGAGGAGCAGGGGGGAGGAGGAGGAGGAGGAGCAGGAGGAGGAGGAGGAGGAGATGGAGGAGGAGGAGGAGGAGGAGGAGGAGGAGGAGGAGGAGGAGAAGGAAGAGGAGGAGAAGGAGGAGGAGGAGGAGGAGGGTCGCCTGAGCCCTTCGGAGAAACCCTCCTCTCCACTGCCCTTCCTGCTCCGCCCACCCAGCACTCCTTGACTTCCTCTCCGGCCCCCCCCCCCTGCGTGCCGCTCCTGCGGGCAAGGTTCGTATCCATATCCAGTGCGTCTTGGATGTTTTGGGAAGGAGCGTCACAAGGCCGAGGCGCACTGGATATGGATAAAAATCGAGCCTCTACGAGGGCAAATATATCCATATCCAGCGCGCCTCTGGTTTCTGGGGAAGGGAGCCCGACACTCCATACTGCAGTGGATATAGACAGAAATATTGCCCGCAGCTCCGTGCCCTCCCTCGTCCCCCCCCCTTCATCTCCTGCCCGCCCGACGCCCCGCCGCACCCTCGACGCTCTCGAGCGAGCTCCTGGCGCTGGCCCCCGGACGGCCTCCGGGCCTGGAAGCGCATCCGAACGCTGAACACGAAAGGAGCGAACCCACTGCTGACCTGTCGAGCCGCCAGAATAGAAAGCAGAATTGGCACGCTCATGATCCGCCACCGCGCCGCTGGGCACGGAGTGGGCGTGTTCTCAGGTCCTTCGCCCGATGCCTTAAGCTCCAGTCCTCACTCCTGAAGACGATTTGAAGGCGCCCAAGCCCAGAATTCACAAATCTCCTGGGCCTTCCCGAGACTTCTCGGGGCTTGTCGCGTGACCGGTTAGCGGGCCTCCAAGACGGTCCAAGCGGGCCTCGAGACGCCCAAAGATTACACCAAGACTCCCAAGATGGTCCCCAAGAGGACTCCGAGACGCCCAAAGAGAACGCCAAGAGCCTTCCAAAGATGCCCCCGAGAGGGCGAGCTCATTGACTTCCCATAGATGTTCCAATGATGTTGGGGTCCTCGACTCTTCCAGCTCCCCACTCTCCAAGACGGCTCACGAGCCCCCCAGGAGCGCCCCAAGACGGCCCAAGAGGCCCCCGGGAGGGCCCCAACACGACCCAAGAGGGCTCCAAGACGACCCAAGAGGCGCGCAACACGGCCCCAGAAGGCCCAAAGACAGCCCCAAGAAGGGCCCATGAGACGGAACACAAACCGAAAATCCTCGTCTTCCGCCCCAAGAGGCCCCCTGGAGGTCCCGAGGAGTCCCCAAGAGGAGGCCCTCACGAGGCCCCAAGAATCCCAGAACGCACCCAAACGGCCCCCCGAAGGCTCCAAAACGGGTCCCAAGAGGCTCCCGAGAGGCCTCCCGTGACATCCCAACAGGCACCCCAGAGGCCCATGGCCCCCAGTCCAGGTACGCTGGCGGGATGGGCCGAAGGCCATGAGGTCTGCCGCCCCCTGTTGACTCATCGCAGGGGTGCCTGGCGTGTTAGAGTCGGGGCCTTGACCTAAGGAACCCAACATAAGGAACGAGGCCCCTTTTTCCCAAAGCTAAACTTCGATTTCCGATCGAATACATAAGGAAAACCTGAGGCAAGCTGCGAAACACTTAAAGAACGCGGAGCCCCTCCCCAACGGAAAGGGTTCCTTCTTCAGGGCCCCGACTGTAGATCCCATCGATGTCGGTTCTGCCTCTTTTCTAAAGAGAACCCCCCCCCTGGGGCTTCGGCCTGGCACGCCGATCCCTCGACGTCCGCAACAAATATCCCCTGAGACCGCTCAAGATGGCCTCTAAGACGGTCACGTTGGCCCAGCATGGCCCCAAAGCCCGCTCAAGATGGTACCAGATGGCCCGCAAGACGGCTCAAGAGGGTCTAAGATGCCTCCAGGATCGCCCCAAGAAGCATCCAAAACGGTCCACGAGGGCCTAAGGGGCCTCCAAGAAGCGTCCCAGACAGCCCAAGAGGCTTCCAAGATGACATACAGGAAGGCCCGACGAGGCCAAATCCTTGATTCCGCTTCAGTTTTGACAGATTTGTGCATTTGCTTCTTTTCGGCCTCCCGACGGCCTTCTGACTGACGGCCGAGACGGTCCAAGAGACCCCACAGATCGCCCCAAGATCGCCCTAGAGGCCATTTGCTCCAAAACGGCCCAAGAGGACCCCCAAACCGCCCCGGGAGGGCTCCAAGACTGCCCAAGAGGCCACGAAGCCGCCCAAGATGGCCTCCAAGACGACCCTGGAGCACCCCAAGAGGGCCCCCAGTAGGCCCAGATAGGTCCCCGAGACAGCTTCCGACGGCGTCAGACGGGCCAGGAGCCGACCAAAACGGCCCAAGATGGCTCTCAGATGGCCTAAGACGGCCCAAGAGGCCCCCAAGAGGTCTCCAAGACGCCCCACGGGGCATCCAAGATGGCCTCCCGGAAGGCCCGAAGAGGCCGTAATCATTGATTTGCCGTAAGTTGTTTTTTTCTGCTGTTTAGGATTTTGGCATTTGCTTCTTTTCGGCCTTCCGACGACCCGAGACGGCCCAAAAGCCCCGAACCGAAAGACACCCCAAGAGGCCTCCAGAACGACCCAAGAGGCCCGCAAGACGGCGAGGGCCCTCAGACGGCCTAAGAGGCCTCCAAGACGCCCAAGATGGCATCCAAGACTGTCCTGGAGCACCTCATGATGGTCTCAAGTCGGCCCAAAAACGGCTTCCGACGGCGTCAGAAAGGGCCAGGAATGCCCTGAGGCGGCCAAAGAGGCTCCCGAGAACCCTCCAAAGGCCCCCAAGAGGCCCAAGGAGGCCCCCAAGATGCCTCCAAGAGGCTCCCAGAAGCTTCCTGGAGGCCCCAAGAGCGCCCCCAGAGGCTCCCAAAGATGCCCTCTCCTCCTCCGCCTCCTCATCCTCCTCCTGATCTTCCCCACCATCCTCCCCCAAGTGTTCTCCGAAGGGTTTCCACAACAGTTGGGGGAACACATGGTCCGACAGCTTGGCAAAACTCGTGCCACATCGCTCGGCCACATGGGCGATGTGTTCAAAAGGCAGGAGGCGGCGGTGATTCGCCGTAAGCGTCTTCGATACCCCCCCCCTTCCCAGCGACGCCTCTGAGTAAACGCACCCTTGGGAGCAAACGAACAGGGCAGGACTGTTCAGGAAACGCCCAAGACAATCAGGAGACGCAAGCTTGGGGGTCGGGAAGCTATCTCCCTTGACGATTCGGAGTCTAACTCCCTCCCCCTGCTGCTCATCCTACCCGCTCGTCTCCCTCCTCTTGGTCGTCCTGCTAATGTCAGGGTGGGGCGCGTGATCAAAACAATTGTTCCTCTGCTCGGGCGAACCGTTTTGAGGCTGCCGTGCAGGGGGGTACACGATCCCCTCGACGGCGCCAGCGACGACCCCCTGGCGCGCGCGACAAAAGAAATGGTTTCGCGCCCCGCGGGATCTATTCATCAGCCCCTCGGGGGGGGGGCCTCATTTGACTACCACAAGCTGACGTTACAACCTACAGTGGAGGCTAGTCCACAAGAAACCTTCCACAAAAACCCAACCCTGAGACCCCAGGACGTCCATTGATGATCGGTGTGGGAACGTCGCGCTTTCCATGGCAAAACCATCGAAACCCAAGAAACCCAGGGCACCCTGGAGGCAAGCAAGGTCAAGGTGTCCCTTGGCATGGGCCTCCACTGTACTGACGCCGCTGCTCCCCCGACCCCTCCGCGAGAGCTCCCAGGACGGGCAGTGGCGCCGGTACCTTTTTCCCCCTTCTCAGCGGCGAGGCTAGGCGGAGCGAATAGCGAGAACCCGTTTTGTAGTCATCGCGAGAACGACCGTGCGGGCCCCAAGGATATACACTACCACCACGCGGCTTCCTCCTGCCTCCTCTGCACTCTTCTTCCTCTCCCCTGTACTCATCTTGCTGCTGCTCCTGAGCACTCTCGTGGGGTGGAGGGCTCAGGGTGATATCCAGATGGGCTTCTTTCTGCACCTCGCAAATAAATCCGTCTTGGGATTCACCTCTTGCAGATTCAAGCCTCGGAAATCAATCGAAACGGCATGGCCCAAGATGCCTCGAGGCGGCCGGATATGGCCTGCCACCAAAAGGCCGCAAAAGAGCACCAAGAGGTACGATAACAACAACGAAGCAAAAGGAACGATGTCGAGCGCCGTGTCAAGATTCGGACAAGCCTCGTGAAATGCAGTCCTGGAGGCGCAATAGTTTATACAGGGGTCGGCGGATGTGGCGTAAGTCTATATAACATCAATCGAAACGGCATTTCAGAGTTCACCCTTTACCCTCCACCCAAACAAAAAAATGCTTGGTGCTCATCCTGCCCGTCTCCGCCCGCGGGACGCCGGCTGGCCCGGGCCCATCCCGTGGGCCCCGCCTCGGCGATGGCGCCCTCCTGGCCTGGCCCGGGGAGGCGGCGGCACCGCTCCTGGGCCCAGGAACGGAGTGGCGGCCAGTTGGCATCTGCCGACCCTGCTGATCCTCTTCCTCCTCCTCCACCTCCTCCTCCTCCTCCTCCTGCTCCACCTCCTCCTCCTCCTCCTCCTCCTCCTCCTCCTCCTGCTCCTCCACTCATCCTGCTGCTCCTGCTCCTCCACCTCCTGCTCCTGCTCCTGCTCCTGCTCCTCCTCCTCCTCCTGCTCCTCCTCTCCTCCTCCTGCTGCCCCTCCTCCCTCCTCCTCCTCCTCCTCCTCCTCCTCTCACTCCTCCTCCTCCTTCAGTCCCTCCTCTCCTCCTCTCTCCTCCTCCTCCTCCTCCTCCTCCTCCCTCCCTCCCCTCCTCCTCCTCCTCCTCCTCCTCCTCCTCCTCCTCCTCCTCCTCCTGTTCTCTCCTCCTCGTTCCTCCTCCTCCCTCCTCCTCCCCCTCCTCCTCCTCCAACTCCTCCCACTGCAGGGGCCAGCAGACGCCGTCGCTCCCCGGGACGCAACCGGCCCGACCTGCGCAGACCTCCCGAAGCGGGCCTCTGAGGGCCTCGCCCCCGAAGTCCCTACAGAATCTTGGAGTCCTGGAAATGGGCACCGACACCAACACAGGGGGGTGCATCCACAGGGGGAAGATGATCCTAGATTTCGGCGTTGGTGGTAATAGTTCGGTCACCTTGAAAGCCAGAATATTACCACCTCCACCGAGATCGGGATCCTCTTCCGTCGGTGGAGGCACACCGCCGACATTGGTGTCGGTGTCAACCTCTAGGCCTGCGAGAATCAGTCCGCGCCCATGCTGTCCAGCATCCGCAGCACGGACTCTGGATCTATGCCCAGCGGCATGCGATCTCTCGTCGCCAGCGGCCTCTGAGCGCAAGAGACCGTTGCGTCGGCCGCCAGATGGCAGCGAACGATCCCGCAGTGCACGAGAACGACGATGTCGTCGTCCTGCAGGGACGCAGCGATGATCTCTCTGGTCATCGCCTCCTCACCTGCCATGGCCGTGGCCCTGGCCGCGAGCAATCCAGAGACGTCTGGGGCAGCCGTGGGCGCTCGGAGCGAGCCGCGTGGATTGCCGTACACGGTGACCGCGCTCTGGCCCTGGGCCTCCACGAGGGCGAAGAGCCCGAGCCCCGGGGACAGCAGCACGAGGCGCAACTGCTCCCTCGCCCCCGCGCACGCCGCCATGCCCGGCACCCGCTCGCACCCGTGCACCTGGGGCGCGCCCTCTCGCACGCGGACGCACAGCGCGAGGGCGTCGTGGTCGCCGTCGGACACCGCCAGGGCCAGCCCGCCCTCCCCTGGCCCGGCCGCGAGCAGCTCGCCGCGCGGCAGCGCCCAGCTGCTGACCTCCGGCCCCCCAGCTGGCAGCGTGAGCACGGTCAGCACCGGCCTGGCACGGTCAGCACGGCCAGCTTCGGACTGGCCAGCAGGCGGGCCGTTGGAGGGCCACAGCGAGAAACTCGCCTCGGCGGCGAGCAGCACGGTGTCCGGTGCGCACCAGCACGCCGCCCGTGGCGGGGCCGTCCCCCGCGCCGTGGCCAGCACAGTGCAAGCCGTGCCTGCGAACTCCAGGGCCACGACATCCACCGATCGAGACTGCAACACCCGGTGGACCACGACCCTCACGACGCCGGGCGACGCCCTGCAAGCAGCGGTGATCCACAGGTCGGCGCCCTCGGCCACGGCATCCGTGCCGCCCAGCTCCGGCAGGGGCGCCGGCCCGTGGACAGTGGCCGCCACCTGTCGCGAGGCGGAGTCCCACACGAAAGACACGACCACGAGGCGCCCGTCCGCGGTGCTGCAGGCAACCGAGTCGCGAGCGGACCCCTCCTGGTCCGCGGGCTCACCAATGGGCTGAAGAACCCGGGCCAAGGACCGCACCTTGGGGGCAGAAGAAAACATACCTTGAGCAGGAACCGACCGTACCGGCATTCTTATAGTCCTACCACGAGATGTTCTTAGAACCCAAGAATGTTCCAAGACCGCAAGCAATGCTCTCATAATATCAACCCGACGTGTTGAAACAAGACAGTCCCAGCCTTACATGTTCTAAGAACATTTCGTGCAGGTCACGGAAGGTTCTGAGGACATTCTTTGGTAGGCCTCGAGGCACGCCAGGACGCTTCGCCAATGCTTGCATACCTGGGGCACCCAAAAATATATGCTGAGGCAGCGCGTGGTGCCCTGGGAATCCCCCACCACCTCACCGCTCTGTCCCGTCACCGCACGGTGCGCTGGCACCTCGGCGGCCCGACACTGGAACCTCGAGGCGAGCGCCCAGGCAGGCGACACAACGAGGCAAGGCAAAGGGTAGCGGCATCGGAGAAGTACGGTAGGTTCGTGTCGTGTCGACCCTGGCGATGGCTTCTGACACCACGGGGATCGTTCGACCTTCAATGATCGGCTGTGTCCGAAACGCCAGATCGTTCAGCATCGATCAATTCTGGGTCGCTAGCGGCGTTAAACATTGAACGCCGGCGTCGGGGTCGCCGCCGGTCGACACGACGCGAACCTTCCGTACCGACCGTCCCGGCATTCCTATAACTAGTCATACCACGAAATGCTCTCAGAACCCAAAAATGTTCTAAGAACAAAAACAATGTTCTTAGAACATAAACCCGATGTGTTAAAACAGGACAGTCCCAGCCAGAAATGGTCGAAGAACATGTCGTGGGAACTGCACAAGGTTCTTAGAACATTGTTTGGTGGGGCTATAGGCGAGCCGGGACGCTTCGCCACTGCTTGACTTCTGTCTCTGGGCACCCGCAGGCCGCAGTCGACGTACTGCGCCACGCCCCCGGCCACGAGCTCCCTCACGGCGATGCCCTCGCCCCAGGGCGCCGCCGCGAGTGCCCCGCCGCAGAGGATCGGAGGGGGGCCAGGCGAGACAACGTCGGCCCTCTCGCCCGGCGGCCCCAATTCGGGGAGCTTCTGACCCAGGTCAACCCAGACCCGAGTCAGTCGGGCCTCGCAGGATCCTGCAGGATCCTGCACCCGAACCTGGGTCAACGCGAAGGATCCTGCAGGATCCTGCAGGGTCCGCCACCCAAACCCAGGTCAATGCGACCCTGGCCCTGCAAGATCCTGTAAGATCGGGCGCTCTGGCTGACCTCCGTTTGCATTGACCCCAGTCTCTCGAGCCCCGACACATCCGCTCAAGATCGGCCCCCGGCAGCCCGGGTCCATCCCAAACCGCTCCCAGAATCCGCCCGACCCTTTCCCCAAGGCCGACCTTGTCGACGGACGGTCCCGGTGCCCAACGAGGACTCCCAGAGGCTGAAAACGACGGCAAAACTGCGCAGCGAATGGTTTCAAAACATTTGGAAGTCTGAGTTTCTCGAGGCGGATCCGGCCGCGGCGGCGAGAAAGCCACAGGAGGCTCAGAGAAAGCGAGCGACAGCACGGGACTTGGACGCCTGATATGAATATGGACTAAAAGGGCACGATGCTCCAATGCAAATGGTGCCCCACACCGACAGCGGCCGCTGATGGGCAGGCGACGCTTTGTCTGAAGTTGACAACGTCCGCGGCGACACCGACATCTCAGGAGAGGCTCCCATACCGTCTTGCTGGCTCGTACGAAACGACGCTAATCGACGCGAGTAGACGCTAAATCGCTGCATGCTCATCGGTTACCAAACGCCAATCGACGCGAGTGCACTCCAAAGACGGAGACGCGAAGGCACACAAGGCTCCCATGGTCTTGGAGGCCTGCTAGATGGGGTCGGGGTAGATTTTGTTGGAGGATCGCGCCGCATCGCCGATACATCGGCGATGCATCAGCGATGTATCGGCGATGCACCAGCGATGCACCGGCGATGCAACGTCGGTATCGGCGGTGCCGACGTGGCGCAACTCGGGCTCGACATCGAGCCGCATCGCCGATGCATCGGCGATGCGGCGCGATCCTCCGACCACATCTACTCGGACCCCATCTAGGAGGCCTTTAACACCCAAGCCCCACCCTCCTCGTCCTCAAGGCTCTGCAGAAGAACATGGTCATCCATGAACGCCAATCGAGAGAAAAACAAACAAATTACGCTAACTCTCCTCCTCCTCCCTGCGGGCCTGGGGGGCGCCTGGGGGTCGCCTGAGGGCTGCCGCGGTCCCGCTGGGGGCCTCTCTGGGAGGCTCTCTGCGGAGCTCCGGGAAGGGCCCGCGCCGCCCAGGAGCCTTGACCCCGGATCCTCGAGCCTGTATCTGGCCATCGCTCGGACGTCCATTCCCTGTGTCTTTTTCGGTTTCGTGCGTGGCTCTTTCGCCAACTGATCCAGGATGCTCCTCGATGGCCCTCGCCGAAGGAAAAATGCACACGTCCGAGCGATGCCAGGGTATCCTCGAGCCGGGGTCCTCCGCTGCGGAGGCCGCCGAGGTCTCGGCGGGCCCCCCCTCCGAGAGGAGCGCCAGGGAGGCCGCCGCCTCTCCCCGCCACCGGGCCTCCGCCGCCAGCGCCGCGACCGCGGGGGCGCGCGGCTCGGCGAGGGGCGGGGGCGCGTGCCAGGCGAGCAGCTCGGCCGCGCCCAGCAGCTGGGGGCAGTGCTCGGTCGGGCGTTGCTCACGTGGTGTCTGGCCGTCGCTCGGACGTCCATTCCCCGTGTTTTTGTCGGTTTCGTGCGTGGTTGTTTCGCCAAATGATCCGGGATGCTGCTCGATGGTCCTCTTCCGAAGGAAAAATGCACACGTCCGAGCGATGCCAAGGTTTGGGGGGGGGGGGCGACAACTGCAGCGGAGGTCCGTCCACAAGAAACCTGCCACGAGGAACCCAAGCCCGAGACCCCAGGGGGTCCACTGATGTTTGCCGTGGGCACGTCACGCCTTCAATCGCAGAACCATCGAAGCCCGAGAAACCAAGGGCACCCCGGAGTCGAGCAGGGTGTTTCTTGGCATGGGTCTCCACAGTACGTGAGGGGGACAACAACTACAAGAAAGCTGGAAACAATGGAAACTGGAAGGCCAGTGTGAAAGTGTAAGGTGCCAGGGCTGACAAAACTGGCAGTATGGGTGGAGCGAGCCCGAAGCAGTAGGGATGCGGTCGCGTGGGCTGGACAAAAATGAAGGGAACCTGGCCAGGGCTGGAAAGAGTTGAAGGGCTCGCCCCAACCACTTTTTCCAATTTCCATGTACGTGTTCGACCATGGGCTCCTCAACTACGTTCCCGACCATGGAACCCTTGATACCCATCGCTCCTGAACCGTCGTCGGCGGTCTTCGCACGGTCCTCTGAAGAGGCTCGGCGTTCTTCGGGGCGGTCTTCTGACGATCTTCGGCGGTTTCCACTGGTCTTCGCTTCGGCGGTCTTCGGCGTTCTTCTGACGATCTTCGGCGCGAAAGCTGGGTGGCTGCCTTCAAAGAGGGACCCACGATCGAACGCACATCAACAACACGAGCGGGCAGGGGAAGAGAGGTGCGCCTCGCGTGCGCTCTCGGGGCCGCAAAGGGGCCCCTGGAAAACGCCTTTCCTGCAGCCCGCCTCCCCACCTTACCGTCGTGGGGGAACACGTGCACATCTCTGCACGAACGAAATGGGCACGGAAAGAATGGGTACACTGCCCAACAGCAGTTCCTGTTCATTTTGAACAGGACTCGCTGTCCGTGCCGCCGCGGCCTGTGTCCATTCGAGACGGAAGGGCCGCCTGCCCAACAGCGGCCGCTGTTGGTTTGGGACAACATGTGTTGTTGGGTATTGTACACATGTTTTCCGTACCCGTTTCGGGCGTCCAAAACATCCGCGGCCTCGCGGGCTCGGCTCCCGGGCCGCGACCCCGCGGACACGAGGCGCTCTTCCGCGGATGCCCCGCGCGGAGCGTGCCCCCATGTAGAGGCCTCCTGGATGGGGTGGGGTCCGAGTAGATGGGGTCGAAGGGTCGCACCGCATCGCCAATGCATCGCCGATGCATCGGCGATGCATCGGCGATGCACTGGCGACGTCGGCGATGCCTCGGCGACGTGAGCGTGGAGAACATCGGGCTCCGTATCGAGCCGCATCGCCCATGCATCGCCGATGCATCGCCGATGCGGCGCGGATGCATCGCCGATGCATCGGCGATGCGGCGCGATCCTCCGACCCCATCTACTCCGACCCCATCTAGGAAGCCTAGACCATGACCGCGTATCTCTGCGGGACCGCGCCCCAAAATGCAGACCACGAGGGCGCCACGGACATGCTCTCCGCTCGTGACTGTCACCCCGCCCCCCCACGACTTGGCCGGCGCGCAGGAGGGGGCAGGTGGAGGGGGAAGGCTTCTTAGAAGGAGGCGGCCTCTTAGAAGGCGCCGGCCCTTCATCCAGAGACAAGGCCCGCGCCTTCTAAGAAGCAGGGGTGCTTCTGAGAAGCCTGCCCTCCTCCCCCCCCGCACACCTCTGCGCATGGAGCTAAACTTGGGCCTCTCGCGGCCGTTTGGGGCGATCCGGGCACCCCCCGAACGCCCTCGGCGAGGCGCAGCCGCTGGAGAGCATCCCGAGGCCGGACAGCCGCCGAGCACCGACGCAAGCGAACAAGTAAACCTCGGAACCTCGAACCTCGAGCTTCTCGTCCTCCATGCAGCGGTGCTGACATGTTTTGAAGAAGGAACAAAACCGCCATACCATTACCCTTGGGGCCCAGGCGCGGATCAAAAGAAATCCACGCGGAGCGCCAAACTATTATGTGTATGGCGTTTGTTCTTCTTCGACAGTTCTGCCGACCATCATCATCATTCTCATTATCACCATCACCATCATCATCATCATCATCATCATCAGCAGCAGCAGCAACAGCATCATTATCATCATCATCATCAGCAGCATCAGCATCAGCATCAGCATCAGCATCAGCATCAGCATCAGCATCATCATCCTCATCTTCATCCTCATCATCATTACCACCAGCATCAGCATCAGCATCAGCATCAGCATCAGCATCAGCATCAGCATCAGCATCAGCATCAGCATCAGCATCAGCATCATCATCATCATCATCATCATCATCATCATCATCATCATCATCATCATCATCATCATCATCATCATCATCAGAATCCTCACCCTCATCCTCACCCTCCTCCTCACCCTGCTCCTCCTCCTCCTCCTCCTCCTCCTCCTCCTCCTCCTCCTCCTTCCCTCCTCCTCCTCCCCCTCCTCCTATTATCCTCCTCCTTCCCTCCTCCTCCTCCTCCTTCCTTCCTCCTCCTCCTCCTCCTCCTCCTCCTCCTCCTCCTCTTCGATCTCTTCCGCCCCCCCGGTGCGCAACGCCCGAGCTTGTAGGTGTCGAACGGCGCCGCCGCGGGCGCCGCCGGCAGCTCCAGGCGCCGCGCCATCCCTCGGGAGAGAGCCCCCCCCGCGGGGGCGGCGCGCCCTCGCCGAGGGGGCCTCCCCCCGCGGCGCGCGCGGGGCCCCTGTCGAAGGGGCCCCCGGGGCGGCCCGAGCCACCAGGCTGCGTGCCTCCGCCTCCGCCTCCGCCTCCGCCTCCTCCTCCTCCTCCTCCTCCTCCTCCTCCTTCTCCTCCTCCTCCTCCTGCGGCGGCTGCGTGCGGCGGCGACGCCGGCGCTGGCGCGCGGCAGTTCGCCTCGTGCGGCGTCGGCGCTCGCAGAGGTTTTGTGTTGACGCCGCGGCGATCGTGCAACCTCGAGTCGATTTTTTGGTAGAAACCTGAACACGGTGACAACAATACCCAACCATAGCGTTCATCTAAAAAAAAAAACGAGCAATCGCTCCCAACTCTATTTCTGCATACTTCCCCTGTGGAGGAACGTGCCCGACTTAAGCCGATCTAGCAGAGCCTGCACGACGTAAACAGACCTTGGAACAAACCGCAAGGGTCATTGCACCGGCCTTGCAGACGTGCTGCAGCGGATTTCTGCGTGGACTTCTGCGTGGATGTTTGCCCGAAGCGGCGAGCGAAAGACGAAGTGAATTTCGCGTGAATTATTTTTGGTCGTCAGTCCTAGCCACAAAGAAATCCGCACGAAATTCACCTCGAAATCCGGAACGGAATCCCACCAGCCCTCTGGGCGTAGGTGGTTTAAGGAGTTTCCTCTTCCACCCCTCCTTCTTCCCTTTCGGAGAAGGGTTTACCCCTCCCCCTACCCCCTCCCCTGGACCTGGACGGGGGGTGTCGCGAGGTTTCAGGGCGTCCAAAACGGCCTCGGCGAGGAAGGCACAATCATTTGTTTTACTAGGGTTTTGGCCCCATTTTGGCCTCCTGGGGGGGGGGACCCTAATTGTGACCCCCCCTTTTGTTTGATCGATCTCCTTCAAGATGGCCCCAAGAAGCGCCCAGGAGGCCCAGAGGTCCCAAGATGGTCCCAAGATGGCCCCAAGAGGCCCCCAAGAGGCCCCCAGGAGGCCCCCAAAAGGATCCCACGAGGCCCCAAGAGGCCCCCCCGAGGCACCCACGATGCTCCAAGAGGCCTCGGCGAGAATGCCAAACCATTGATTTTACTAAGGTTTTAGCCACATGTTGGCCTCTTGGGGGGGGCACTAATTAAGATTACTCCAGGAGCGCCTGTGAGAACCCAAAATGACCTCCAAGATGGCTCAAGATATCCCAAGATGTCTCATAATGGCTTCCTCTGTGTGCTGCCCACTTCCCTGATCGAGGCGATTCCTCTGGGCATCGTTTCTGAATGGGCTGGTGGGGATTATTTTTTTGGTTGGCGGCTCCAAGGCGACCGCCAGGGAGCGGGAGCGACGTCCGGGGCGGCGGAACGGTGCGAATTTGCGAACACGAACATTGCTGGTGGGGATTCTTTTTTTGATCTGCGGCTCCAAGGACGATTCCAGAGAGCGGGTCGTATCGAGCATGGGGCAACACGCAAGATGCTGGTGGGGATTCGCGAAGCGTCAACAATTCTCCAGGACACTCTGGGCCCATCCTATTGTTTTCCAAACGAACTCCGCTCTGCGATGCTGGCGCCGCGAACCTTGACTCGATCGCATTCCCGACCGTTGAAAATTCAACTCAATCGGATCCAATTGCGTTACCGTGTTGCTTCCGCGTCGCAGAATTCAGCCTTGATCGCCTTCGCCGGCGTCGCCAGCGCGCCAAATCCGCACGGACCTACCGTACCCCCTTCGGAAGCAACTCCCAGAAAATCTTCGTAAGAACCATCAAAGGACATTAGGCCTCATCCGAGGGGCCACTGGACCTGCTGAGGCCAAGCCGTATCAGGCAAGGGATTAAGCAGAATTTGGCGGGGTTAGACTGGACTGCGCGGGATGATGCTGGATCTGGCTGGTTTGCGACCACGGGTGCACCAGCGCCGAAGCAAAATGTGACCTCCCAGCAGATGCACCCTAAGCATCCCCCACCCTGCCCAAAACCTCCTCCTCCTCCTCCTCCTCCTCCTCATCATCATCACCATCATCATCATCATCTTCCTCCTCATCTTCCTCCTCCTCACTCACTCACTCACTCACTCGCTCGCTCACTCACTCACTCACTCACTCACACCATGGCGCACGCCGCGGCGTCCAGCACCTCCACAGCGCGGCCGCGCCGCCGCGCCGCGCGACGCCGCGCCCGCCGAGCCGCAACAGGGCGGAGCACCAAGGGACCCCGCAGGAACGGGGAGAAGGCTCCAAGGCTCCTCGAGGAAGCTCCTCCTCCTCCTCCTCCTCCTCCTCCTCCTCCTCCTCCTCCTCCTCCCCTCCTCCGCCTCCTCCTCCCCCCTCTTCCTCCCTCCTCCTCCTCCTCCTCCTCCGCCTCCTCCCCTCCTCCTCCTCCTCCTCCTCCTCCTCCTCCTCCTCCTCCTCCCCTCCTCCTCCTCCTCCTCCTCCTCCTCCTCCTCCTCCTCCTCCTCCTCCTCCTACCTCCTCCTCCTCCTCCTCCTCCTCCTCCTCCTCCTCCTCCTCCTCCTCCTCATGCGTTTCATGGTTATTCCTCGGCAGCCGCACAGCACCGCGACGGGGTCGACAGGTCGCAGCCGCCGCGCGCGCGCGCGGCCGGCTGAGGATTTTGCAGGGCAAGGAAAAGCGGCCGTCGGCGGCGCGTGAGCCTCACCCGCCCTCGGAGAACCACTCGCTCGGGGCGGATGGTGTCGTAATCAAGGGGGCAGACCATCCACCCCGATAAGAACCACCCCGACACGCGGAGACGTTCAGTAAGTGCACCCAGAAATAAGTAAAACGGGGCAGGGCTGTTTAGTAAACGCCCAGGGCCGCTTAGTAACCGCCGATTGTCTGGTCTGGGTGTTTTTCCCACCCTTGAGCAACATCTCAAAGTGCATGCATGCAATGTGCGAGCGCGGACCTGCTGTTCCTCCTGCTCCTGCGTCTGCTCTCCCGCTCGTAGGGATCCTCCCGGTGTTCGCGCCTGGCGAGGCGCCGCGAGGCGAGCCTCGACCAGTGGAGGAACGGGGCGTTCGGGTTCCCGTCGGGTGGACGTGCAGTCAACGAGCAACCACGTAAGACGCCCCGGTGCCCGCCCCCGAGGTTCCGGCGTATAGGGCGCCTTCTGGAGCCGACAAACGTCGAGCGATACCGAACAACCGAATGCTCGACCCTCCTCGAGCCTCGATCCCCTCGATCCTCGACGATCCTGGAGGCGCGATCCTCCTCGACATCCTCGACCCTCGGTCCTCCTGGACCCTCCATACCCAACCGACCCTCGATCCTCGACCATCGACCCTCGAGGACCCTCCTCGACCCTCGACCCTCCTCGGTCATCGGCCCTCCCTCTCCCCGAATCGGGCACGGGCAAGCCAGGGCTATAGGAGAGGCGTAGAATGAGGGGCAGTGCAGCGGCGTCGACATCTCGCTGCGGCCACTGTGCTTCGAGCCTGGGCCGCATCGCCGACGCGAAGGACTGCAAGCTCTCAGCGACTCGCCTGCCCGCAGTCCCCCCTCCGTGACCGCCCTCGCCCTCTCCCCATCTCCGCGGAGCTCGTTTAGGCCATTTCGCATCCTTCGGTGGCAACTACCATACCGTCCTGTCGGCTCTTGCGAATCGACGCTCCTCGAAGCTACATCGACGCTATCTGATCGACTCCCAGACGCTACTCGACGCTCAGGACGGAATTAAAAGGGTATACCAGACTTCCATCACTTGCTACCGCAGCATCCCGACCTCTCGGGCCGGGCGAAAGGGGGGGTCGCAAAAGGGGGGTTTGAGAATCAGCTCAAGTAGCTGCTTCTCCTGGCGCCTCCCAGCGCCGAAGGCGCCCATGTATCGAGGCCCCTCGGTGGGGCCGAAACCAGCTGCATGCAGCAAATTTCGTACCCCCCCCCTTCCCCAATCTCCCCCTTTCGTCCGGCCCGAACCTCGGCCCTCCCGCGCCGCGCGACCGCGGGCACCGCGACAGAGCACGAAAACATGCCCAGCACAGGCCGCCGGGGACACTCTGCGGCCCGCGGGCCGGAGCTGCGGCCACGCCCCCCCTCCCAGCCCAACCCCCAGCCGCCTCGCGGCGTGGCGTCGCGCCCTGGCGCTGCAGCATGCTCAGCTCCTCCATAGGGGCGGGGGGGAGGTGTGGAGCAGCAGCAGGAGCAGGAAGGCGAGGGGGAGGAGGAGGCCGAACTCCTTCGAGGCGTCTCCTCCTCCTCCTCCTCTTGCTCGTCGTCCTCCTCCTCCTCCTCCCCCTCCTCCTCCTCCTCCTCCTCCTCTTCTCCTCTCCCTCCTCCTCCTCCTCCTCCTCCTCCTCCTCCTCCTGCTCCTCCTACTCCTCCTCCTCTTCCTTCTCCTCCTCCTCCTCCTCTCCCTCCTTCCTCCTCCTCCTTCCTTCCTCCTCCTCCTCTCTCCCTTCTCCTCTCACCTCCTCCTCCTCCTCCTCCTCCTCCTCCTGCTCCTCCTACTCCTCCTCCTCTTCCTTCTCCTCCTCCTCCTCCTCTCCCTCTTCCTCCTCCTCCTCCTCTCCCTCCTCCTCCTCCTTCTCCTCCAATTCCTGCTCCTACTCCTACTCCTCCTGCTCCGCTCCGTTCCCATTGAGCGATCATCGGCTTCTCGATGGTGGAATCGTTCCGGCCGTTTCTAAGCCGCCGGTGGCGCTCGAATGTGGATGCCCGCAGAGGGGTCGCCGCCGCGCGGGCACGACACAAACCTGCCGTATGGCCTGGTGCCGCTGCAAACCGACCACGGCATCCAGGTCCTGTTCGGCATTGCCGACGGCTTTCGGGGTTGAGCCCTCATTCGGGGTCGGGGAGCGTGGATTGCCCAGCGAACGGAGCGATTCGCCTGCAGCCAATCCCACATCTTCCACACGACTGGCAATTTCATCGGCATGCGCGTTGAGGATGTGTCAAGAGGACAGCTACTGACGTCGAGCGTGCGGAGGAGATGAGAAGGAGAAGGCCTTCTCAGAAGGCGGCGGCGCTTCTCACAAGCCCTGCGGCCTTCAGATCGGTTTTCAGCGTCTTCGGGGAAGGCATTAAAACTTCTCTGAAGGCCGGGGGACTTCCGAGCCTTCTGAGACGGCCCGCCCCTTTTCATTTCCCACCCCGGCTCGCCGCTGAAACAAGCGCAGGTGGGAGGGAGGGGGGCGACGAGACAAAGAGGGCGGCGAGGCTCTCCTCCTCTTCCTCCTCCTTCTCCTCCTCCTCCTCCTCCTCCTCTTTCCCTCCTCCTCCTCCGAAGAGGAGGAGGAGGAAAAGGCGGAGGAGGAGGAGGAAGAGAAGGAGGAAACGGACGAGGCCGGAGGAGGAGCAGCAGCGGGAGGAACCGGCGCAATGGGGGGCCACGAGGCGGGCCAGAGCAGGTTCCGCGGAGGTGGGAGAGGCCCCCGTGGCCGAGGCTGGGTCCGCGCCGACGTCCCCTGCAGCTCCTCCGGGGCGCGGAGGGAGAAAGAGAGAGAGAGACAGAGAGAAACAGCCCATAGAGTTAGGAGGCAACTACTCAAAGGTTTTCGTCGGAATGCTGAAGGAAGATGGAGCACCATTTGGGAGCTGCTACGCCGGAGTAGGCCTCGGAAAAAGCAAGATCAGGCCAGATTTAGCGGGATTCATCGGGATTAAGCCGGGCTAAGCGGGATTGAGCTGGATCAGGCCGGAGTTCGGACCAGGGCGAAACCAGAATTTGACCTCCAGGAGTTGCATACGAAAGAAAGGTGTCAGGAGCGCCCCGAGACTTCCGGCCTTGCGCCGGGCCGTGGAGAACACGTTGTCGTCGTCGAGCGTCGGTCCAGCGTGTGTGCTGTCCGCCTCGCTTTCTCGCAGCCGGCGCCCTACAGTCGGGGCGTTGACCTAAGGAACCCTAAATAAGGAACGAGGTCCCTGTTCTCCATAGGTTGAACTTTGATTTTCCATCGAAAACATAAGGAAAATCTGAAATAAGTTGCGAAACAATCAAGGAGCACCGAGCCCCTCCCCGACGAAAAGGGTTCCTTCTTCAGCGCCCCGACTCTATGCCACGGCGCCGCGGGGCGCTGAATGGGGGGAAGCGGCGAACGGTGAAGTTCTGGCCCCCGAAAGCCCGCGGGGCCAGGACGTCGCGCTGCGATGCGTCCCGAGCAAGGGGGCCAGTCCAGATCGCAACGCGCCCGCCCGAACGGCGAACTCGGGATCTCTCCTTCCCTTTCCTTCGCCATGTCCCCAGACGTTGCTAGTGGTGCCTCCCGTCAACGCGTCACCCTTGCTTGCAAGCCCGCTGGAGCAGATGCTCAAACATCATCCTGGTCTTCTCGACGGCTTCTCTGGTCGCATCCATCTGTCGCCGACTGCTGTCTGCCAGGCAAAAAGGCCGCCAGCTGGTCACAATGATGACGCACATTGAAGCCAGAGTTGTGGGGAGGCTAGGCTTGGTACAACTGGACACCCTTGGCCTCGTACTGGGCCGTAAGGGGCGAGAGTGGGTGGAGATTTTCCCCCCCCCCCCCCCCGCCTGGTAGTCTGTGGCCGCTGGACATGACTGTGAGACGAACAATACGATGATGTGGATGGGCATAGATAAACAAAACGGTGAATGGTTGTTTTGCCCTGTGCGCTCAGCCATGTTTGAGCCAAGAGGTTACGCAAGAACTTGCGCCCGCAACGTGCTCTTGTTCAAAAAAAAACTGGGTATCGCATCACGCCCGTGATGTCTTAACATATAGAATTGTGGAAAAGATAGCGCTCTTGCGTGCTGGGCTGCCCCAGCCCCTTTGCGCCGGCTGAGCTCCTCTTTGTCGCGCAGGCAGAGTTGCCCATTTCGGGGGCCTGTCGCATGCCTGACGCACGATTACCTCCCACAACTGAAGACAACAATGGGAGAGAAACTAAGAGGTTTGATCCGAACAGTCCCGTATATGTATATCCGCCGACCCTGTCGGCGTGTGCGAGGGGCTTGGCTGTTCGAGTCGTCGTCTCCGTCGGTCGTCGCCTCCGTCGTCCCCTTTCCCTGCAGCTTCCTTCTCAAGCTCGTGAGCGAGAGAAAAATCTAGCAGTGTCGTAATCGAGTCGAAGGAAAGCCCCTTCCCTTCGATCCCTTCCCCAGGGGGTCCGGGGGGGGTGGGGGGGGGGGGTCCCAGGGGGAAACCCCGGGGGGGGTCCCGGGGGGTCCCGGGGGGGTGGGGGGGCAGATTCGTTTTCCCTCGGGCGGCCTAGAAACCTCGAAAACACTCCAAATGAGGTCCGAATGCCCAAGATGGCCCCCGAGACGGCCCAAGAGGGCCCCGAGTCGCCCAAAGATCGGCCGAAAACGCTCACGATAGCCCCAAGACCGTCCAAGAAGCCTCCAAGACGCCCCAGGCCCCCTCCAAGAGACCCCCAGGAAGCCCCAAGATGCCCCCACGAGGCTTCCAAGCGGCCCCTGAGAGCTTCCCAAAAGGCCCGCAAACTACCCCCAAGAGGCCCCCAAGAGCGCTCGTCGTCGTCGTCGTCGTCACCATTCAGGGTCGGCGGCACCGGCCGTAAGGCCTTCGCAATATCAATATATATATATATATATGTATTCAAATGTGTATATATATACATTATATACAAGTGGCACGTGTGTGTCCAGGCTAATACAAAAAACTGAAGGGGCGTTTGAAGCAGGAGTGAAATGCAACAGCGAAGTCGCACTCGAGCTCAAGTGGGGTTGCCACACCTTGCGATGTGTGTAGCAGGGCACCCCAGGAAGCCTCAGGAGGCCCGACTTGGATACCAGAAGAGGCTCCAGGAGGCCCCAGGGTTGTGAGCGCTGTGTGTGTGTGTGTGTGATGTGTGCTCTGTGTTGTGCGTGCTTCTTGTGCGTTGTAGGTGTTGTGTGTGTGTGTGTTATGTTTGTCTAGCGTGTGATGTGTTGGGCGTGACTTGTGTCTCTGTGTGTGCATGTAATTCTGAGTCCCCAGGAGGCCCCGGAGGCCCCAGGCGGCCTCAGGAGGCCCCAGGAGACCCCAGGAGGCTTCAGGAGGCTCAAGAGACTCCAGGAGGCCGCAGGAGGCCCCACGAGGTTTCAGGAGACCCCCAGGAGGCTCCGAGGCGGGGTCTGGGGTACCAGAAGGTTCAGAAAGCCCCAGAAGGCCCCTGGAGGTTCCAGGAGGCCCCCAGGAGGCTCCGAGGCGGCGTCTGGGGTACCAGAGGGTACGTCGGGGCTCGATGTTGGGAGGATGTTTCAGGCGAAACCGCCATTCTCTGAGAATCGGGGTCAAACTTATTGAAATTACCATGTGCTTTTGAAGGTGTCATGTTAAAATGTTGAAATTCCCATGTGTTTTTGGACCCTGACGTCACGATCTGCGTGAGGGGTGCCGCCGATTTTCAGAATGTCGAAGATGTCCCCAGCGAAATGGCCAGAAAAATCGCGGACGCGGCGCCCCGCGTACGCATTAATCGCCTCTGAGCTCTACTCGCTCGGAGAGGTGCGTATGATAATATATATATATATATATATACACTCTACAGGTCAGACGTGGACGCAAAAAGTGCTGATGCTCTGCCAACTCCTGCTGCTACTTTGCCCATGCTGCTATCTCTCTCCCCGCGCTGCCTTTCCTGTCGCCCCCTGTCGACGCCATCGGGCGCGTGACTCGAAGAACTTGCTATCGGCGCCCTGGGTCGTGCGACCGCCACCACATTTGCAGTGCAATCGCGCCGCAACGATGCATCGCAAATCAACGCATCATGCATTTTGCCCGGGATTGGCCACGCGCTCCCCCCTGCGCGGCGCGGGCACGCCCGTGTTGGGCAGCCGCACGTGGCCACGCTGAGGGGAGCAGGTCAGCGCCACTCACTCAATTGTGCGCTGGCAGGTTTCGGCCTTGCCTGGTCTAGCGGCTCGCTCAGTTGACTCCACAGACGACGGGCTCCCTGGTCCCAAAGGGGCCGCTGTTCTTGCCCTGGGCGCCTCTTCTTCATGGGGGCCTCCTGCGCCTCAAAGGAGGGGCGCCTCCAGGCCTGCCCCTTCGTGGTCGCTTATGGACTTCTCCCTGCAATCCTCGCCCTTCTCCTATTTCGCGTCAAAGGCCCCGTCCTCCTTGTCCTCCTTCCCAGCAGGCTGGCCACAGAAGGAAGCGCCACGTGCAAGACCTGGAACAATGGGAGGTCCAGCAAAGACTCCGTGATGCAGACGCGTCTGTTGGTAATAATGGATCAGGCGGTGGTGGTGCTTCTCCTTCAGCTCCGTGAAACGGTCAATGTTCTCACTGCTGGTGCTCGAACAGATCTGTGCAAATTTCCTTATGTCGATCTCATCGATCTGCTCCTGAGTAGGACGGTCGCCTGCGACGCCCCCTTGCCGCACCCTGGCGGGGGTGCTTCCTGCCGTTTCTTCTCCACCGGCCTGTGGTGATGATTAACCCCGAACAGCCGAGAATAACCCCCCAGGGAGAATAAAGTTCGGCGGTTACAATGTGATAGTAAAAGCTGCCCACCAGGACCAGCAAAAAGATGTTAACAGAGGAGCCAAAGCAGAGGATATCTTGAGACATCCTTAGCTTTTGGTCCTCTCGGAAACATCCTGAAGGAACGCGTCGGCTTTTAATATTTGTCTAATACAGAACTGAAGCTCGGAGGTGCGCGCGCGCGCCTCTGAGCTTCACTTCTATATGATTCACCATTAACAAATCGGCATTTAATTCCAAAAACGAAATTGAAAAAAAAAAAAAAAAAAAAAAAAAAAAAAAAAAAAAATCTGGAGCCCTTTAGGGAGGCTGAAGGAACGTGCCGGCTTTGAATATTTTTATAATACGGAACTGAAGCTCGGAGTTTCTATAGAGATTCCTCATGTGCTTCGTTTCCCCAGGATAATCAACCACAGCCATAAACAAGTTCAGGGGGGCAGGGGGAGGAGAAGAAAGATAGAACGCTATATAGAAATATAGAAAGAGAAGAGGAGGTAGAGGAGGAAGAGGAGGAGGAGGAGAAAGAGCAAGAGGAGGAGAGGAGAAGGAGATAGCAAACATCCAAAGTTTAACACTTATTATATTTAAGTTGTAAGCGCTTAATGAAAATTAATATTTTCATCTGCTCGTGTAGGGTAGCTCACGTGCCTCGTTTCACCAGGATAATCAACCCCAGCGATAAACAAGTTCAGGGCGCCAGAGGGAGGAGGAGGAGAAAGAGATAGAGAGACAGAGAGAGAGAGAGGAGCAGGAGGAGGAGGAGCAGGAGCAGGAGGGGCAGCAGGAGGAGGAGGATCGATCGATCGAGCTCTCGGGCCAGTTCGGTGCTACACTCTCTCGGGGCTAGTGTGGCATTACAAAATCTGGTGGCCTAGCTGAGATCACAGGAGGAGGAGGAGGAGGAGGAGGAGAAGCAGGAGGAGGAGGAGGAGAGGGAGGAGGAGCAGTGCGCTCCGCCGCACGACCCAGGGAGAGGAGCCGCGGCCCGACGCGCCCCCGAGTGGAGCGGCGGCGCGGCGCCGGCGCAGAAGGCGTCGGCGCCCCCCTGCAAGACGAAGCCAGGACGAGGACATATCCGCCGACCCTGTCGCCTGCCTCTCCTCCATTCTCCTCCTCCTGCTTCTCCTCCACGTCCTTCTTCCCCCGCCTCCTCCTCCCTCATCCACCTCCCCCACCCTTCCTCCACCTCCCGCTCATCCTCCTCCCCTCGGCGATCTGGCGGCTCTGGAAAACGCCTCGTGCGCCGCGGCCTTCTCGCAGCGTTCCAGCACGCTCTGAAAGCGCCACGCATGGTGCTCCCATCACTGAAGGGGCCCCAGGACACACAAATAAATACACACAAATACAAATATTCCCATATTTTTCAAATAGTTTCTTGGTTTTTGTCTTCGCCCCCACTTCCCATATTTTCCAATCTTTTCTGGGGAATCGGCGATTAATTGTGTCTGTGTGTTTTTTCCCCTCCTGAATCACGCTGAGGGGCCACGCCTCAGAATAAATGTCGAGTGTCGAGACAGCGTCGACCGGGAAGCGCCCCCTGGGCCCCGACACTCGACAACCCTCGAGTTTCGGTACTTTCCTGCTGCTCGACAGTCTACCTGGTGGTCAAGGCTAAAGTAGGCTGGAACATCCTAATCACCGTTCTGGCTGGGCGGGTCTCCTGCCGCAGGTCGCGGAGCTCCGCGTCGCGCTCCCGCGCGACCCTCAGGAGCTCCGCGCGGCTGGGCGGCGGGAGGGGGGGGGGACCGTCCAAGCAACCGTATCCAACCCATCCCGCCACCACCAGAAGGGAGGTGGTAGAGGATTCGTTTGGAAAGGTGGGGGAGAAGGGGCAACGACCTTCTCCTTCTCCTCCGCCTCCTCCTCCTCCTCCGCGTCCTCCTCCTCCTCATCCTCCTCGGACACGAACGCGGCCCGCGTTTTTAGGAGAAAACGCGCCATAATCATAAACATTTGGCACTCCGCATGAATGTCTGGGATCGCAGCGCTGGACCCCAGGGGCGGCGCCGGAGGCGCCGCCGGGGGGGGCCAGCGTACGCATGCGAACCGGAGCCCCGTTTGGGACCAGGCGTGCCAGAATGGACCCGAGTACGTATGCGAACCCTGCCACTGGAGCCTTCGGCGGAGGTGACTATGAGGGATGTGCCGAAATGGACCCGAGTACGCATGCGAACCCTGCCACCTGAGCCTTCGGCGGAGCTCTCTATGGGGCCACGAGGTACGCATAAGAACCCTGCCACTGGAGCCTTCGGCGGAGCTCTCGGCGGGGCCACGGAATATGTGAGGGGTGTGCCAGAATGACAAGGATGAAGAGGAAGAGGAGAGGAGGGAAAGGGAGACAAGGAGAGGATGAGACGCGTGGCGCTGCGAATTCATAACGAGGACACAATACACAGGATGGCTGGGAATCAAAACGAGGACCACGACGAAGGCTGAACGTGGGAATGTCTGTGCCGATCTTGGTCACCGTCCGCCTTGGCCACCATCGATTCGTGGACACATCCTCGCGAATCGGCGACGGCCGGCGTGGACCATGACCAAGACCTGCATCTTGCCCCGCGACCCATTGTTCCACTCAACGTCGCTCCAACTGATGCTCGCCAATGGGGGGCGGGGCCCGGCCTCTGGAAGCCGGAACCGTCAGCGCCGGGCGGGCCGGGCGCGTGCGCGTCGTCGCCGAGGTGCGGGTCCACCGCGCAGCAGTCCGCGTGGAGGGTCCAGCCCACCATGCGCGGGTCCACGCTGGCGCAGCCTCGGCTGATGCGGCGAGCGGCAAGAAGGCAGCACGCGACGGGTGGCACACAGGGCAGGATACCTTACCGCCTACGCCACCGCCAGGCACGCAGACTCGGAAGGAAGAGGGAGGCGCGGAGCGACGGCTCCGGGGCGACCTTCGCCTGGCGGGAGGGAAGGGGGGAGGAGGAGGAGGAGGAGGAGGAGGAGGAGGAGGAGGAGGGAGGAGTGTGGAGGGAGGAGGAAGAGGAAGGGGAAGGAAGAGGGAAGGAGGGAGGGGGAGGAGGAATGAAGCAGGTCGTCGGTGGTCTTCGGAACGATTCCGATTGTTTCCCAAGTTTCGTAAGGAAGTGGAGGGTGTTCAATCCACCGAGCACGGGCCCCCGCTGACGCACCCTCGAATGGATGGAACTGGATGGGGGAGGAGGATCGTCGAAAACCTGGGTTTGGGAAACATGCCAAATATGTGGCGCCTCAAGGGCACTTCCCGTAACCTCGCATGGATCGGCCCCGAAAGTTGTGGCAGATCGCGCCGCTGGACAGGTCCAAAGACCGATCTTACCAGCGAGAGAGGATTGACGAGTATCGTTTAACCGATCCCCGTCCCCAACGGCGTGGCCTGGGCCCCACTGTCCGATTTACCCCCCTCGATGGGGATAGAGGCCGTTGCCTTCGAGTTTCGAGGGGTGTCTCCCCAACTGGGGGGGTAATTTGGTGGGGGACTCGAGGGGGATGGGGATGGGGATGGGGATCGGTTAAACGATACCGATGTACAGGCATGTCTCTGAATCTCGTTCGTGACGGGCCGACGATGTCACAAAAGGGAGCCATGTACCCTCGACCTTAAAATCGCAAAACAACCCACCACACCAAATCGAACAATAACCAACGATCACAACAAACATGCGTGTTGCGAACATGCGACTGCATTGTTGGTTGCAATGTTTGGGTCAGCTCATGAGAGCGCCATACCCTATACACATATACATCTGTATATATATATATATATATATTCACACATCACCCAGCACTTCACGAGCACACGGTTATCCGATCGCCGCTATACTCTGTGCAGTGTTTCCTCAACAACATGTGACAGACACTGCAATATATGATTGAGGTTGAAACGATATGGCATATGCCTTTGTCTGTGTGGCCTGGCATCTGTAGACATGCTATGAGAGACGGTGGCAACGAATCTGAAACGATTCGTTGTGGGGCGGGGGCCCTCGTTCAACGCTTGCTGTTTTATGTGTTTCGTCCTTGTCTCATTGCACCAATGTCCCTTCCGATCTCCCCCCTCCTTCCCCTCCCCCCCCTTGACGGGCACTGCTTCCCAATGCCTCGGCTGTTTTCTCACCCTACTCCTCTCCCTCTCACTCTCCTCCTTTCCCTCCTCTCATTCCCGATGTCTCTCTTCTGTCTGTTTCACTCTTTCTCTCTCTCTCTCTGTCTCTCGCTCTCTCACCCTCCCTCCCTCTGTTTCGTATCTCCCTCTCTCTTGTTCTCTCCCTCTCTCTCTCTCTATTATTCTCTCTCTCTCTCTCTCGTTCTCACACCCTTTTTTTGTTTGGCATGTGTTGTATACCGTGGCGCGGGTTGCTCGGAATATCGGTCAACCAACAATTGACATTCGAAGGAAACGCGATGCAAACGCGAAGTGCAATCATGCACATTGCAAAACAGATTGGCCAACCAACAATTGACATCCGATGGAAATGCAATACCAGCGAAAAATGCCAGTTTGCGCATTGCAGACAAGATCGGTCAACCAGCAATTGAAACTCACGCAAATGATGGCGCGCGTTTGCGAATGATTCGCGCTACGCGGCGATGTTGGGACTCGCGGAACATACAAAATCGCAACGACGCAAACGACGCGTGTTCGAAGACGAGCGACGTGCTGCGTGTTCGGACGTCAACGACGTGTTGGGGCGTACTTGTTGCATCATCGCTCCACTCGCTGCCAATGCTACGATGCACTCCCGGCTTCCATGAAATATGCGCGGCTTCCGCCAAAGTGGATGCTCAATTTGACCTTCATGCTGATGGGAAACTAAGCATCACTGAAACGGCTGGTGCGAACCACACCGTCGAATCGAAAACGATCGTCTTGAATTCGTTGCAAGTAATTGTGTGCGAACATCCGTGAGTTTGTGTAGTGCTTGAATATGCCCCATGTGGGCTTTCCTATCGACATGGACGAACCGCACAGCACCCCTTGTGAGCGATTTCTTTTTCAGCGTTTCGACATTGGGCGGAAAGGGGGGGAGGGGGGGGTCTCGCTCTCTGGGCCTCTGCTTATTGCAACTGTTTGCAGCAGTGCGTCGTATGGGGAAGGCCCCACCTGCTCGATACAGGCGCCCAAAACAGCCAAAATCTAGTACATGGGAGAGGGGGAAGGGGGGGTGCGAGGGCCCGCGCTGGGGCTTCTCGAAAACAAGAATACGTGCTGGCACGCCCTGGTGCGGAAATCACGGGCACGATGCAGAAATCAGCAACTGCTGCCCTAAACTGACGGCGGCCGTTGCTGGGCAGACGAGCCTGTTTCTCAATTGGTAACGCCCGCCGAATGAAAAAAGGAATCTTGCTCAATGAACAGGAAGTGTCTCAATTTCTCAATTTTAGAAGACAAGGAATCCTGCTCAAATGAACAGGGAATGCGGTCGGTCATCGTACCCGTTCTTGCCGTACGCATCTCGGTCGTACGCCAGGGTGGGTGCGGGGGGGAGCGGCGCAACCAGCTCACAGCGGAACGCCGGGGGCGAAGGCGAGGCGGGCGGAAGCGGCAAGATCACGAGGCTCAGCACGACAAGGGCACAGGGCTCAAACGGGAAACAGCACGACAAGGGATCACGAGGATGCGCGGTGAGGATGCGGGGCCCCTGGGCACCCGCGTGGGAGCTTCCTGCTGCTGGCCAGCCAGCGAAAGTGGCTGCGGAGGGGCCGAAGAAAGGGCAGGGATGAGAGGGCACCCTCGGTAAGGGCGGCCTCCGAGATGGGGTCGGAGCAGAAGGGGTCGGAAGATCGCACCGCATCGGCGATGCATCGGCGATGCACTGGCGACGTCGGCGATGCATCGGCGACGTCGGCAAGGAGAGAATCGGACCCCACATCTGGCCGAATCGCCGATGCATCGCCGATGCTGCGCGATCCTCCGGCCCCATCTGCTCCGACCCCACCTAGGGAGGCCCGGAGAAAGCGGCTGGGGAAGGACCGAACAGAGGGCAAGGAAGTGAGGGCACCCTTGGTACGTACAGCAGGGGCCCGACCACAAGAAGCCTTCCACAAGAAGCCCAAGCCTGAGACCACAGGACCTTCATCGATCTGTGGGTGTGGGAACGTCACGCCTTCCGCAGCCAGATCGAACCCTAAGAAGCCCTGAGCACCCTGGAAGGAAAGCCTGGGTGTCTCCAAAGCCGCGCCAACGGCGTGCTTGGCTAACGGTGCGGTTGAGAATATGGTTTTTGTGCAGTCGAGCTCACACAGAACTAAATGTAGGAAATCACGAAACACCGTTTCCTACTTCCCAAAGGTGCGAAGAAAACGACACAGCGAGTTGTAGGAAAACCACGCGTTCCTACAATTGGATTCGCCACGGACCACGCCTTTCTGCACTTGGCTTTCCTGCACCGCCGTTGGCTAACACACCGTTAGCGCGTCTACGGTCTCTTGGCATGGGCCTCCACTGTCAGTCTCGGGTCGGGCGAAAGGGGGGAATAGCAAAGGGGGGGAATCAGCTCACGTAGCTGGTTTCCCCGGCGCCTCCCGGCGCCGGAGGCGGCCATGTATCGAGGAATGGGCCCCTCGGCGAGGCCGAAACCAGCTGCATGCAGCAAATTTCGTACCCCCCCCTTTCCCAATCCCTCCCTTTCGTCCGGCCCGAACCTACCAGACCACCCCAACCCAACCCGAAGACCCGAATTTCGGGTTGGGCGGGGGGGGGTACGGCTTCCGTGTGTTTTTCCCATGTTCCCCGACCCACCCCCACTGGAAGTGGAGGGCACATCGGGGCCTTCGGGTTGTGTAGGGGTGGCTTGGTGGGCGGTGACCTTCTCAGAAGGCGGTGGGACTTCTCAGAGGCCCCCGCGCCCTCTGACAAGATGTTATGGCTGTCCCCGGGGAAGGCTTAGACACTTCTCAGAAGGCCAGGGGACGTCCGTCAGGTCGGGCATGTCCCCCTACAGGCAGATCATGGGCGAACAATGAACAACAGTCAACAAATATGCAAACATAGTCAAAACATAATCGAAACATCGGCCCCGGACTATTTGGTGACTACTCTTGAATATTCCTCCTTCTATAGAGGGGCGTACCGAAGTTAAAACTTCCAAGACTTCTGAAAAGGCCTCTTCTTCTCGCTCCCCCCCCATCGCTCGCCGCCGACCTCTGCCAGAGGGCGGCCGGGGCTGGCCCCAGGAAGGGGGCTCCCCCAGCCGCCTAATCACCATCCTCTCGGCACCGAGCCCGCCGCGGCGCCTCTACAGCAGGGGCCCGACCACAAGAAACCTTCCACAATCGGTGGCGTCCACGAGGGGGGGGCGCAAATCATGGCCGGCGGCATGTGCGCGGCCCAGGCGGGGGGGCCAGGGACGCAATGAAATCAGAAGAGGCGCCATGAAATCTGGGGTGGCGCCATGATATCCACCCCCCTAGTCATCACCCCCCTCTTTGCCGCCCCCGATGCAAGAAACCCAACCCACCATGGAAACAGAAGGAACCCAGGGTCCCCTGGAGGCCAGCAGGGTGCTTCTTGGCACGGGCCCCACTGTAGAAGAGAAGACAACGGCATGACCATGAACTTTTGGGCGCTCCGCGCGGGTCTCTCGGATCTGCGCTGGACTCCCCTTCCCTGGCGCGCGGAGCGCGCCAGGGGCGGCGCCCGAGGCGCCGCCAGGGGGAGGCCCAGCGCGGATGCGAGAAACCCGCGCGGAGCGCTTCAAAGCTCATGTTTGACGAACGAACAACACGCACCCATAGACCAAAACAAGACAGCCCCAGCCAGAAATGGTCTAAGAACATTTCGTGCAACCCACAACAGGTTCTTAGAACAGTCGTTGGTAGGCCTGTAGGCGAGCCAGGACGCTTTGCCACTACTTGACCCCTCCTCTCGGCACGAGCCCGCCGCGGCGCCGCGCCCTCTCTGCTCCCGCTGCGGCGCCGGGCCCGGGCTCTCCAGCCACGGCGGGCGAGGGAGAGGACGGAGAGGTCGGGCCAGGCTTCGGTCGGGCGTGTCCCCCTACAGGCTGCACATGTTTCAACATTGTTTCTTTCGTTTATATATAAGCGTCCCCTGGATATTTGTTTGGGTTATTTTGGGATATTTCCTTGTATAGGGACAAACCCGACTTACGGTTAAATCGGGCCTGTCCTCCTACAGGAGGCTCTTGGACGAACCCCAAAAAATTTCAAATACTCAAAAAGTCGCCGGCCCACCAGGCCAGAGGCGTGCTAAGATCTCCGGTAACTGGTTAACAATCTATCCGAATTCGCGCGCGCGGGGCGGCTTCTGGGTGCTCCAGGACGAGAAGTACCCCGACCAGGTCCCGGCCAATTCGGCTCAGAGATGGTTTCCTCCTCGGCGCTGCCTTCCAGGAGCGCGCCAAGAAGGCTCCGAGACGCCCCCGAGACGGTCCAGGGGGCCCCGAGTCGCCGAAAGATTGCGCCACGACGCCCATGCTGGTCTCCAGACGGCCCTAGGCGCCGCCGAGAAGCTCCAAGAGAGCCTCACGAGGCTCTCCAAGAGGGCCCCAACAAGCAAGAATCATCTCATCTCCTCTGGGAAACGTACATTTGTGGCATAGACGACGTTCGGAGGTTCACAGCGTCCACGACTGCCCAAGAGCCCCCCAAGATCGCCCCAAAATGGCCCAACATGCCCCCTAGATGCGCCCACGAGGGCTCCACGACGGCCCAAGAGGGCTACCTTCCAGGCCTCCCAGAGCTCCCAAGAGAGGGCGCGGCGTTGTAGCGGCGTCGCAACAGGCTCGTGCTGAGACGCTCATGCTGGTCTTCACACGGCCCTAGGCGCCGCCGAGAAGCTTCAAGAGAGCCTCGCAATGCCCTTTAAGAGGGCCTCAACAAGCAATAATCATCTCATCTCCTCTGGGAAACGTGCATTTGTGGCATAGACGATGTTCGGAGGTGTATAGCGCTTAAGGCTGTTTAAGAGCCCCTTAAGATTGCCATAAGGTGGCTTAACATGACTCCAAGATGCGCCTAAAACGGCCCAAGAGGGCTCCAAGACGGCCCAACAGGGCCGCCTTCCAGGCCTCCCCGAGCGCTCCAGGATCGCGCCAAGAATGCGGCGCGCCGCCCCCGAGATGGTCCAAGGGGCCCCGTGTCACCGAAAGATTGCTCCAAGACGCACACGCTGGTCTCCAGACGGCCCTAGGTGCCGCCGAGGAGCTCCAAGAGAGCCTCCAGAGGCCCTCCAAGAGGGCCCCAACAAGCAAGAATCGTAACATTTCCTTTGGGAAACGTGCATTTCTGGCATAGACGACGTTCGGAGGTTCACAGCGTCCACGACTGCCCAAGAGCCCCCCAAGATCGCCCCAACATGGCCCAACATACCCAAGAGGGCTCCAAGACGGCCCAAGAGGGCTCCAAGTCGCCCCCAGAGAAGGAACTCGAACTGACATTTGAAGCTTCCCGACCCCAGGGGCCCCTCCGAGACCGACAGCAGGCTTCCAAGAAACACCCAGAAGACCCGAGACGCCCCCGAGAAGCCCAACATCAGGCCCCCAGGGCACCCAAACGGCCCTGACGAGGCCTCAAGAAACTTCAAAACTGCCTCCAGAAGGCTTCCGAGACACCTGCCAGGAGACCGCGGCACGACAAGCCATCCAGAGACGTTTCCTCCTCCTCTCGGCCAGTCGACGCAGCAATGCCCAAAAATAAAAAGGCGGAGTGAGGGAAGCGATTGAATAATTAAACTATTGTTCCCATACTATGTTTTAATACTTCTGAATATTCCCCCTGAGGGACAGGCCCGACTTTTAAGGCCAGGCCCCGCCTGTCGCCCGGCGAGCCGCATCGGGACGG